ATAGCGTACAAAATATCCACACCAAACCCCCAAAAGTGAAAGCTTAACTTTTGACTCCGAATTGTTCCGTACAGTCCCCATAATGATAGTAAAAAATGTACACAATTGTTAGCGTCCGGTTTGGCAAATAGTGATTTTCGTTGTCTTTGAAAACCCCCTTGAAGGAACGAATACCTCGCTGGGCCTTGTCCCTTTTCAGGGCGCAACTTTTAAACGAAAAAGAAGGCCCATAGGCAGGTCCCTGAAGAGTCCTATTATAATATTTGTGGGTGAATTTCTTACTAAGACCAAGACGGAATCGTCTTCTAAATTCTCTTCTTAAAATTTGAGAGAACTAAATATGAATGGGTCTCAGTTCTATTACTTGATAAATATAAATAATTACATACATCCTATAATTACATACATCCTATAATGACATACATAGGAATACATCCTAAATTATTTGAACACAACAAACCCACGCGGTTATCAGTCTATTGTTTCAGTGAACAATTACGCCAATTAAGATTCCATTATTATCATGACTATACTGACATAATTCAAAACCAATCTAGAGTCCAGTGGACTAGTGTCATTATGCTGTGATTATGATCTTGCCGAGCTATCGTTGATTTATTTAGTCTAGGAATGTCAACGATTCATTGTTTTTTTTTTTTACTCCAGAAACAAGTTAGTATTTCTTGATCAAACAATAAACATATAATATCAAATGTTGTTTATTACTTAAAAACTATCTTGTGTTTTTACGGGACTTTTCTCTGAGTATGAAGTAAGAGTGAACGTCCACTTTTTGTTTGGTAGCACCATTAATTAAAATTCGACTTACAAAAGTTGAGATAATGGGCTCAGAATTGATCTCCCTTGGAATTGAACAAGCCACCTTCAGATTTGAAGCGAGCGGCTATCGACATATCTCTAGCAACCTCGGCCATCACAACTTCCAACTTCTATTTCGCTACTCGTACAGTTTTGCCAATGTTATATAGTGTCTTGCTAGAGAAATGCACGGCACCACGATGAGTCAGCCACGCTTGTTCGCTCGTTGTGTGTTTTTCACGCGTGTGTGCGTGGGAAGTGTGTTGGGGCGGTGGCGCGTGACTTGGCTGGGAAACTTACCTCCCTCGCCGTGCATCACTACACCTGTTGTTGCCTTCCCCTTCAGACAACGGTCCTTGGTCCTTATAATTGGCCATATGTATAACTGACTGCGTGGTTGAAGGTGGTAGCGGTAGCTTCGATTTACCAATTTTTTGTCTTAGGACGCTTGGTACGAGCCCGGAATTGTTTTTCACATTGCTTCAGGCTAGACCTAGTAGGGGTTGCGGCATTATCACTTGGATAAAATCCATTGGTGATTTGGTGGGATTTGAACCCGGGACCTCTGGAAGTCCCGCGCTCTAACCACTATATCAGCTCGTTCTCCCTACGTTTTAACATTTAGAACAAGAGAAGTGGGTACAACACGCATGGAGTTGTATTCACGTCTATATTTTTTGCTTGGTATACCACAATAGGTCTTGTGGGAAAGTTGGCGTTAGATTCTGAAACACTAGAAGTGATACTTTCAAAGGTCACACTTGACTGAAATATCGTTATATTTGCCGTAAAAGAACTATGTCCTTCAACACGAGCCGAAACTCAATCTCATGCTAGGAGGTCCTCCTAGATCTCATGCAATCATTTTATCAGTAATATGACCAAGTTTTACCCCGAATATTGTATTAGTTCATATTATAGACTATCAGCTAATATGGTGTCATATGTCATAAAGCGTTATTATGTGCATACATTTTTTTTACTTTCTCCCTATACGCATAGTATAATATGAATAGCATATTGTTTTCGTAAAAATGTTCGAGTTTGAGCTTTGGGTGGATCTCGAACGATTTTGATTAATGTTATCAATATGGTGACCGTGCCAACAGAGGTTAGGCATCGTGAAACCTTCTCTAGTATTTTACTAGACGACCTCATTCACCTCCGCCCATCTATAACCGTTCTATATACAGTGGTAGCGTGTTGTGGAGCGTAGAGGAACGGTTCCATTGTTGGAAGTGTTCCGGAGATGGTATCTTGGTGCTCGTGCTCCCGTTAAAACCTAACCTCGCTGGACACACCTAAAACGGTAAGGTAGGCCAATCCGGCTGATCTCTGTGATTACCGCGGTGTGGGGTGTACCAAGGGACGTTCAGAAACTAGTAGAATCCTCTACACTACGTTATAACGCATCATGTACGTGCATAATTGTTATAATTTAACGTTTTTGTTTTTTTTCTACGTCGTGTCATTGAACTTTTTTACGATTTTGTAGCGACGTTTAAGTTTTAAAATGTCGACACTATGGAATAGCTCCAGAGTATTCTACTCAAAATTGTTGTTCAAGACCTTTTACGCGTTTGTTTCTAAAACTTGATCAATGTCACAGACTAAACATATGGTACTTGGGAAAATGTCGCCTTCATGCAAAAGAAAAATGATCCCTGAATCGAAAGGTAAGCTTATCCCGTAGTTTTGGAACGCATTGGAAAGTTATAAGACTTACAGAAACAGTTAAATTACCGAGTAATCTTTGAGAGAATGTTGTAGAAGTATATTATTTTAGCTTTGGTTGGACACAGTTAGTAGCTAGTAAACTTTACTCACTCCCGGTTCAGTAAATATCGTTGTTCGTTTCGTGTATTTGTGATAATTTTATTAACAGGGTATTTTTACGAAATCCTCGCTGGTCAAATGAGACTCATTTGGAACTCTTTTAGTATATTTACTGACATATCCGCTGTGCAACAGCTCACAAGTTTCATTGTGTGATATAAAAGTTGAGCAGCGATACACAATCGCGGACTTGTAAACTAAACCATAATTATTCCAAGGATATATTAACGCAAATAACGAGATAGTCCAAATGTTTTACTATCTTATCAAGATTGGACCTAAACATTGTATGTAATATGATTTTACCCTGAACTAATCCGTTGACACTTTACATCTGACCCAACTCGAAGTGCAAGTAGTCCGCCTTTACCCGTAATTCAGTCAAGTTATTTCTCCAACTCTCAATTTATCATTTCCTTGATCCGTTCTGATTTCATAACTCGAGAGTTACCGGGTCGTGATCTAGTGATCGGGGAATTTGTCTCTGTAACAGTGAGAACTTTCCCTACATTTCCCTGTCCAGTGTCCACGCCTCCCACACTGTGACACTACACGGAAGGTCACCGAGATCGTTATCACCACGTCCGTCATTGTGACAATCTTATCACCAGCTGTCACGTAGATAACGTCTGATTGGTTCTTTACCGCCAGATCGAGCGAAAGTTGTGTAGGCGGGCAGGCGGCACGTTACCGGGAAGCGGTTCGAAAGTAACCCTAACCTTGATAGGGGAGTGGGTCACCACAGGAATTCCCCGGGGGGGGGGGGGGAAGGTTAGGTCATTGTTGTTGGGGATATCTATCATCCATTGGTAGGCCCAGGCCTAAACTGGGCAATGCAATGAGTATTGCACCATAGTATTTTATATAAATAAATTATTTATGTATATATTCAAATTTATTTTTAGTTATAGCATCATCCATTTATTTTTTCCACAGATGCATATTTATTTTATTTTTTATTATTAATTCAACATGAGTGTAGAATGGAGTGAGATGATTTAAGCTTTGTCACTGATTAATTATGTAGGATCATTTAGTTTGAAGCCCAATTATTCAAAAATATAGTTGTGTCATTGAGCTAAATATACTATGGTGTGAGAGCCATTGTGCAATTAATGGCATGGTATAAACATCCATGGTAGACTATCAAATGGTATAAAATATTCATGGTAGACTATCGAACGGTATAAAATATTCATGGTAGACTATCCAAACTGTATAAAATATTCATGGTAGACTATCGAACGGTATAAAATATTCATGGTAGACCATCAAACGGTATACAATATTCATGGTATACTATCAATTTTATTGTACGTAAAATTAAAGGGCCATGTCCTGATCTCCTGGCGTCATTTTTTTATATTTTGGGTTTTAAAAAGTCGAAACAATACAGGTGGGCAGTTTTAACCTACATTGGTGCTTCTAGACTTTTTACTGTTAAATCACATTTGCGATGATTCATCAATATATAACTTTTATAAAGGTAATTCTTATAATGTTGATAAGTAGTGATAAATATTTTAATTCTATTTATCCCACTTTAACAAATAATAATTATTATTTGTAGGAATGGGGTAAATAAAATATAAATATTTAATTATTTTTCATAATTTTAAGGTGAAGTACCTTAGTAAACTAGTTAGACATTTGTAACTTAAAAAGTATTGTGTGCAATTTTATACAAAAGTTATGTTACAATGCAGCTCAATTAATTAAATGATCCAGTAAAGCAGTGTTGAGTAGTTTAAAGCCATACACATGGTATTGAACATATTCACATTGTGGTTGTAGGTCAGTGGTCAAGACCTGGTGTGGGTGTGGTGGCCAGTTACTTAACTCTGGTCAACTAGACTGGTCACTGCAACACTGCTACTATTGTTCTGCTTTGTTTATGTTTTGTTTACATTTTTCACATCAGAGTACACGTCATTTCACATACTTTTAAAATATTTTGCAAGGTTATTGCAGACATCAAAAATCTTTAACAAAGTAGTACAGTAGTACCGTTTCAATCCACTCTGCAAGGTTCCCAATTATTTAACCATAAATGTTCAGTTTTCATAGTACATAACATAGGCAATGGTGTAAAAATTGTCACTGCTAATAATCCCACCCTTATATTTTCTTAGTTGGCCTAACTGTTAACTTTTTAGTTAACTTGATATCCGACTAGTATAATAAAGAGTTACCTTTTCTTTGTTCAAAGTTCATTGTCGGAGGAGTGATAACAAATGTTGGTAATAATCTTTCAAGGAAGTATATTGACCTGTTGTTAAAGTTTATCACATTTTGCTGTATTCGGATGAGACATATTTATTTAATTATTTGCCTTTTTGTTACAGGGAGCTGGCCAAGATAGATTGGGAATTTACATAAAATCTGTTGTGAAAGGAGGAGCAGCTGACGCTGTGAGTGTTAGCATTGATTTTATTTAACTTATATAATATGTATTCTCAATGAATTTGTTGAAAATGATGAAGTCTCGAACAATCAACAACTATGGATAACTGTGAACTTCGTAAAGTTTATTGATTACAAATCAGTGTTTTCAATTGGTTAAGAATTTTGGACCAGGAACTGTGGTGACTCGCTTGGAAAATATTTTCTTGTTCCTCTGTTCAGTTGTAATTCTGCTTTTGTGGGCCAACTAAAATATCCAATTACATGATAATGGATGACCAAGAATAAGTTTGAAAAATCGAATAGTCTAAATAAGTTCAAATTTTCTACATAAAGTTCTAGGTACAGTATTTTTTTTATATAAGATTTCTTTAATTATTAAGTTAAAAGTTATAAATGAAAGTTAATGTTTTTCCTTTTATTCAGTTAAACAAAGGCTTGTCTTTAACTGTTTGGATAAAATATGTTTAGGCTTTTAATTTATATTTTTATGTCTCTATTATATTTTTATCATATTTATTTAATGATGTTTATTTTCTTTCTTGAAGGATGGAAGACTGCAAGCAGGTGATCAGTTGCTGAAAGTTGATGGTCAAAGTTTGGTTGGCATCACTCAGGAGAAGTAAGTTGTAACTTTAAAATGCTATGCAACATTTTTTTATTTGTACAATTTTATGATGAGAAAAAAAATGTTCAGCATAGCCTAATTTTGTGAAACTCAATTTAAAAAAGACTCTTAATTAACAGAGCTAAGATATATCTTGTTATACGTGGTAGATGTGTTCCTGCTAACCACCATTGAAAGCAAAACTGGCAAACTGGTAATGTAAATCAATCTAAAAGTGTTATGTGACACGATTTAACAACTAAATACACAACTAATATGCTGTACAAAGATTAAACTAGACTAATACTAACCAAAACTTGAATTAAAATAGTATTATAGGGCTTCAGATTTTAGGGGATTTTCCCTTAAAAAGGCTAACACAGTAGGTAAACATAAGTAAAGTAGTTGAGAAGATAAGATTTAACTAAAGTAGATTCATGACCATGCTTATAGTAAATAAAAATCCTAAAACAAAACAAAATTCTTCATATCAGAACTCATAGAAACTTCATTTTCCAGAAAAAATATTAATTTTGGCTCACCAGCTATTACTTCATTTTAGAGAAAAGACTTAGTTTATGGTTTATACAAAGTTACAAATCAAAATCAGCCACAGTACAGGTTGACCCATAAATTCATTAACATTGTGTATAAACATTGTTCTCATGAAAAAATACATAATCTTACTTCCAAAATGGAGGCTTTGAACCTTTTCAGAATTTTGTTATAAAATTTTAACGAGTTTATAAATACTGTAGAGTAGAGTCTGTTTTATGCAGCCTATTCCTAGGTACAAATACAAAATTTGGATTGAGTCTCATATGCGTTGCCGCTCCCTGCATACTGAAGAGATCCAAGTTTGCCTTTATTTAACCAAACAATGATCAGCTTAAAAGAAAATTATAAGTCACGTTTGAGCAAAAAATGTGTAAACCAGCAGCGCTTTTATCCAGAAATACCTGTATTAATTAGTTAAATTTTAAATTTTTTGTGTCTTAAACCTGATGTGTTTTGTCTGCAGGGCCGCAGAGTACCTGGTGAGGACGGGGCCGGTGGTAACACTGGAGGTGGCAAAACAGGGAGCCATCTATCACGGGTTGGCAACACTGCTGTCACAACCATCGCCCGTCATGACACGAGGTAAACTGTCACCAACTTCAACCAATCCTGACAACCTCCCTGTCTAATGTTTATGTTACATTAGTTTCGGAAAACATAGGATAAGGGATACACACACAAAAAATTGACAAATTATACATAACAGTAAAAATTATAGTTGTGTTGTTAAAATATAATTGTTTGATTTCTTTTCATCCTAGAATTAATTTGAGTGTTTAGAATCATATTTTTTGGTGCAGTATAAATATGTTGTTGAAATCTTAGAACCAACACATAAATTGTCCTCATTGTTTTACACGAGTTTATCAAATTTTTCTCCGAATTTCTTAGTCATAAACATTTATTAAATTTTTTTGTTTTGTGGATTTTATTTGTGCTGATTTGCCCTTCTATGAGAGCAGAACTCTTTTCTAAAATCAATCAATTGATAGAATGGATATTATTTCTGTACATTCATATTTCTTCTTGAGATGAGTAAAATAGTATAATGATTTCATAAAACATGTTCATTTGTTGGTTCCCAAGTTTTAATTTTAAGCGTACAATTAGCAAGTACTTAACCTTGGGAACAATGATGAGAAGAGAAAACACTCCATGTCAAGGAACCAGTGGGAGTCAGCTGGTGGCATTGGAGGAATAATGAATTGGGAATTACTTACTGACTGCTCATGCTAGCATTGGATAGGGTTACTAATAAAATTGTGTTACCGGTAATAACAGTTGAATCAAGTATAAACAGAATTTTGTCTTTTATTGTTCCTGAAAGGTCGTTAACCTTAATAAAATTGATTGTTGTCTTACAGACCGTCCCTTCAAATGCATACATATTAATTACTGTTTTAGAATAAAATGTTTTTTACCAACTAAAATGGTTATACACATTTTCTCCTAGTATCAAATCATATCATTAGGTAACTTATATTGGAGATATTGGCAATGAATGGTGAAATGTATAACTAATTTTTAAACAATTTATTATATATTGGCCTTTTTGAACTTTTAAAATTAGTTATACATTTCATCATATTATTAGTTCACTCTTTAGAGTATCAACTCTAAAGACATTGACTATAAGTTTCCCTAACACAAATGGGGAAACTGACAATATCTAATTTAATATAGGAATCTTGTAAATGCATGTTAACATTCTATGTGCAAAAATTGTAATGAAATTAAAATTATATTAAACTGCCATTAACAATTTTCCTGTATATGATTTGTGAACCTAACTGTCTACAAATCATTGAGTAATTTAAAACTATAAATGTTACATCATTTCCTCTAGCAAAATCTCAAATATAACAATGCTTTCCTCGTCTTACTAACATGTGGCTTTCAGCTGCCCGCAAAACTTCTCTATCAAGTCTAGCGGAGGAACCGTACCCCTATCTCAACTCTCCCCCCTCCCTCAGTCAGTCCTGTCAAACTCAAACACTTTCCGAACATCTGGAGAACAACATCCCAGAGATCCGTATTGAAGTGGCGTCTGTCACTCCCAACACAGAGACAAATCTGCTTACTGTGCCCGTGCCTACAAACAGAGTCAAGTGCTACAAAATACCTCCGGACAACGATCTGTGCCTATGCGAAGACATCTTCCAGCAACACCAAGCCAAGTTGGTCAACTGTGATTCAGAAGATGCAAATGCCATCAGCCATTCTAGAGATACTGTTGGCCAAAATGAGATTGGCAGTGAGTTCAAAAATCCTAAGGCAGACGTGGTTCGGTACCATAAAAAAGACCAGAGTACTGAGATGAGTCCCAAATGGCTGAACAGAAGCTTGGAAAACATCACAAAGGAAGAAAATGGCAAATGGGTTCCTCTTCCTGGTTTGAAAAGATGTAAGAGTGACTTTTACTTGTCCAAATCTGGGGAGTGGAAGATGGCGGATGATGAACAGAGCTACAAAGATTTGTTTAGTGAAGAAATTCGTGTGTACAACCTTAATGAAAGACAAACGGAATGTTATAAAGAGATTTTAGAGGCAGTTGTGTCTTCAACATCGACTTCTGAGTGTAGTTGTGATAATGGCTCTTTTTCACCAAAGTCGACAGATTCTAGCTCGGTGTCGTCAGGAACACTAACGTTGAAACCGGTATCTGTTAAAGGAAACTTCTCAACTTATGATAACAGTCCTGTTCATGCACCAACTTCAAAACTCTCAGCTGAAGAGAGGGATAGAGCGCTGAAGGAACTTGATGAAATTGTTTCCGGAAGATTCTTAAAAAGGATTTCTGCTTTTGGAAGAGGAGAAACGTGTAATGATACGACCCAGAGCAAAATGAGTGATTTTCTTTCAGATATGTTAAAGCTTGACCTATCTTCATTAAAAAACAGTTCATCGAGTGAATCAAAAAATAATTCCAGCAGTGAAGAAGAAATGCTGCAATTTGGCTGTGGAAGAGTTGCAGCTCTAGCTAAACATTTTTCAAGGATGGGTGAAGCGGGGATTATCAGAGGTAGGGGAGGACCCTTCAATAGAGGTAACAGAGGTAGAGGTGGATTGAACAGGAATAGCTACAAATCTGAGCCAAACATTATCAAAGTAAATGATAGTTGGGCAGATCCTTCCACAGAAGAACTTATCATTCCTGAACCTCCTGCAGAAACAGACAATACTTCTCCTCGCTTTCAAGTTATATTTACCTCTCAGGGTTTACATCCTGTTGGCTTCAGTATGGATAGACTACTGGACATTGGACAACAAAATGTTGTGTTAAAAGAGTTAGGTAATGAGCAGATCGAAACAGATTTTGAAGAAAGTAGGAAATTAGAAGATAGTCATGTTGATGTCAGTGGTGCAGATAAAAAAGTGAATTATGTTCCTGACCAAAGTGATTTAGTGGAAGACATAATTTTAGAGGGCAATTATGAAAACCCAGACACAGAAAGTTACCTTTCGAATCCTCGTGCGAGAGGTATTAGATTTAATAGTTGGACACAGACTTCTGATAGCATAGATTTAACAAATGAGCCTGAAACAAGTAACCATAGTTCCTATCCTAACGGAGATTCCTCTAATAGAAGATTGCATATGATGAAAGATTTCAAGAAAATGTCACTAAGCTTAGACAGCTGCACAAAATCAGATTCTAATCCTAAATCAATAGATTTGAAAAAGAAATCTATAAGTGTTGATGAAATAGAGATGATGAAATCGAAAAAACCCGGTTTGAAGAAACATTACAGTTTTGTTGACTTGGGGAGTATCGACAGTGAAAGCAGTCAGCCTGAAGAGACACAAGAAGATGACAAAGTCGGTGTTATGAGCATTATCGGCTCAAAACGTTTGAATGGCTTCAGGGAGAGAAGAGGGAATTTTTGTACATCAGAGGAAATCAGTAAACAGTATGGTTTGAAAGAAGACATCCTTAAGGATAAGAATGTTAGGAAATGGTTAAGCGTTGATGAAGCGGCGCATAAATCCGAATTCTGTTTCAAGACTGAAAAACTTGATACCGGCGTGGTAAAAGATAGTTTAAGGAAAATTCATAGAACAGGAGATGGAATGGGTCGCAAATTAAAGAGAATGAAGAAAATCGACCAGAAGATGCTTGTTGTTGCCCCTTGGAGATTTTCTGAGGTGAATCCTAGAGAAGGCGTGTTTACTGTGCTGACAACGGACGAGGGTGATTGGCGTTCTCGCAGGAACTCTGTGCCTACTTCGCTCCTGGCCAGTGAGAAGCAAGAGTCTATCAGTAAGCTGTGAGAATCTTTTGCTTCTAGGTGGCGTTGCACGCCTCGATGTTGTCGTAGAGCACGGACCTACAGCTCCCAGCTGTTTTATGATTTCTTTTTCTCATATTTGTGTTGGTTATAAAATATATTTTTTTTACACAAAAAAGAATTGCTAGAAAAAACACATCTTGTTTCAATAATTGGTTAAATTTTTGTTTATTATACATTATTTTGTGAATGTTTACTATATTACTATATAAATATGGCATGCTACCAATTTGCATGGAAAATCAGCATGTGAATGTTCCTTTACCTTCTTTTTTTCAATGTTTGATGTTGTTTCAATGTGTCTATTTTCTTTCAACAGTAATTGTTCTTTTGAGATTATTAAAATTGTTGAGATAACTTGAATAACAAAAGTGATACTTATTTGAAGAAATTAGATAAATCTACCTACCAGTACCCATAAACAGCTCTGAGATTGTTTTCTTTTATAAATTTATTTATAAACAAGGAAGCCCGTGCCTAAATTGTGCATTTTAATCAAGTTATAAACTCTGGAGGCTAAACAAACAATGCAGTATTTTTTAACCTCCTAAAAACTGATTCCTAACTAAAATTCAATATTCAAGAAAACATCACTATAAAAAAATAGGTTTTTTATTACAGTTATTTGATGATTAGAAAATATACAATCAGCTGTCAAAATAACAATTCACATTTTAAACCGTAGTAAAAAAGTTGCTCAGCAGCAGCACAACACTGGACCTTTGAAAGTGCCTTCTACAAAGAAATCCAAGGATAGGGGGGTAAGCGCTATAGGAAAGTGGCTTTTTAATTACTATATTTTTATTTTTATTTTTCCAGTTCATGGGCTGGATCATAAGCTTTTAAATTACACCTCAATCGTAAGAATTAAGTAGGACAGGTGAAAAATGTACGTTACAGAGAAAACCCCCATTGTATTTAGATAGATGGGCTACAGCTGCTATATATATAGATGGGATTTATACTTCATTCACCAAAAGACCATAGTGCATGCCTGATAAGGAGAGTATTTTAGTTGATCGGTTGTGTTTGCGCAGGCCCCCGACGTATGAGCGAAAGAGATCTGCCATCGCGGGTGTTGAGCGAACAGCAGAACCTGGGTGCCCGGGGTCAGTTGCCGCCCCATGCCCCTCAGATACACAGCTCCAAATCAGTCCCCTCCCTGCACAGTAAGTACTCAAGAAACAACTTTAATATCAGCTGTATTTTTTTCTAAAATTAATGTTACAACTTGTGAAAATTATTCACATAAATGTAGTGGAACCTCTCTCTGGAAAACTTTACCTAAAATAACAACTGATCAAAGTCAAGTGTCTACATTGAAAACTACAAACACACAACTTGCCCAGTCTTTCCATATGCAAATTTTTTAGACCATGTGCAGCCTCAGCAGCATTCACTAATTTAACATAAGTTACAAGGAGCAATGATTGTCGGATATTTATTATATACACGTTAACATACAGAGAGTTAATCTTAAACTGTGTGAGATTAGTCAACGGAAAGATTTGAAGATTATAAAATAACTGTTTATTTCATAACATTTTTATTTTCTAATTTTTGCTCTTCTATCACATTGTATCAAAAATTGTATTATAATGTATCATAATATTTGCCAATAGAGAAACATATACAGCATGAGATTACTACATTTGAAACCTATAATGGCAACTATGTAACGTAAGTATGGTGAGTAACATGTGATCTTTCGCAGGTGGTAACCACGAGGTACACGGAGGGGGGGCCACTATGGTGGGGGGGAGACAACACGAGGTCTTCAACCCTGGGTACAGTCGCACTTCCTCAACCACCAGCATCCCACCACCCACGACTCTGCGCTCTAGGTAACTCTCTACCTTACTGGTGATAAAGAATTTTAAGCCACACTACACTGTTTTAACGAACTTCCCACGCAAGGATTTAGTTCAGAAAACAGCTGTTTGCCGCTGTTTATCAGGGTATTAACTATTAAGAGACATTTTTGAAATTATCTTGCATATTCATTAAAACGCTGTAAACAATCTTCTCCTCCATTCGTTTAATAAGGACGAAAAATGTTATTACTTTTTTGCCCTTCATCATTAACCGTACATTTTGTTTAGATCCAGTCAGAACCTCACAGAGCATAGAGGTAACAACCTTCCAGGGAACCTCGGCCGACAGGCTTCCAACCCTAGTCTGGCCAACCAACCTCCCCACTTACATCCACACGTGCCTCCCTCCTCCTACCAACAACACGTACACCAGCAGTACCAGCAGCAGAACAGTCCTACGACGGGGGAAAACGGGGAGAGGTTCTACCAGAACCTCAGCATCTACCGCAACCAAGAGATACAGAACGGGTTCATACACCAGGGCTCCGGTCGAGGCAAACTGCCTAGTCCTCAGGACGAGAGGTTGGTAGCTATAGAAAATATAGCTGTTATTATTACCCATTGAGATGGGGATGCAATTCAGCGTATTTCGGGTGTATTCAATTTGAAATGAAAATGAGTCTAGAATTGAGTGGGCCGTGTTACATCGTTGTTGGCTAAGACTATCTGTTTTTTTTGCTGTTTTATGTCCCTCCTTCACATTCTATAATGAAGGCTCAAGCCCAAAACTGTTTTACACATTACTTTGTACTAGGCCAACAAATAGAAAACACTAAAAGACTTCTGAGTTAATTTCTGAACAGTGCTATACAAACACTTTAACACCTCGGGACAGATAATTTGTCTATTTTCACCTGGACAGAGGCTGTTAATCTGAGTAATGATTGGTTCTGGGATGGTTAAGAGAGGGTCTACTGTACAGGTTTTATTATACATTCAAACTTGGTTTTTTTTCAAACTCTTAATACTTATATTCCAGATTTAATAAATTTAATAACTTGTTGTAGAAGTCCGGCTCAGCTCCAGAAGAATCTCCGCGGTTCTCAGTCATCACTGACGACGGCTCGGCCCCCTGAACAGCCACAGGCACGACCAACCTCTGCATACCTGCCCCCTCCTCACATGCAACAGGTGCGTGGATGACAAAATAATCGATTAGTGAATTATTTAAATATTTACAGTGCTGAGCTGTTATTAGAAATAACAATAAAGGTTCTTTGACACTACTTGTAATCATATAGGTATAACAGACACTTTAAATAGATTTGCTATTGTCAAAGGACACTTGTATAAACATTAGAATAAACAGTGTTTTCAGCCATTGGTACTTAAAAATTAAAAAGTAAATCAGTCCTGGGTCTTTGCCACCTACGGTAATAGCTACTTTCCTATAAGGAAATTCGCTAGAAATTAAAATAATATAGTTAACTAAATCGTTTACAAAGTGTGCTTCAGTAAAAACATTATTTCTTAGTTTTTGTTATATAACATAAAATTTGCCACATTCTACAATAAGTTGTACTTTCAGTTTGGCCTGATTTAAAACTTAGTGCAACTGAGAGAAAATAGTAATTTACATCAAAATAATGGCTTAATACAACTGTATTGATTTTTACCCTACAACTGGCTACAAATTTAACATGTGGTCTGATGGTGATGTGGCAGGGCATGGCGCCGAGGTCACAGTCGTCCAGGGACATGTTGCGTCAGGAGGCCAAGCTGCAGGAGATGACTGAGGAAGTCCGCAGACGAGAGTTGAGACTCACCTCTCCACAGTCCAGACTGCAGGTGAGATATTACCTGTGAAACCTCACCACCGAAATGCAGAACAAAACATGCTCCCTCCTTATGGAACAGCTGAAGACAATTTTGTTGTTATTTATGTACGGTTTACTGCAGAGGTTGTGTTTTCAGACATCAAAAACCTCACCAAACAGTAAATCACAAATTGAGTAACTAACCGTAAAATAATATAAACAAAATTTCTTTGGCACTACCACATGAACTAGCAAAAACAAGCTTCAAAATTTACAATGTGATGAGAAGTCTAATTGTTTTGATTAGTCTATGGTATTACTTGTCCGGTTAATGTTTAAAAATAATGAAAATTTTCACTATGCAAAATGTGATTTTTTCCATACAATAAAAGCTGAATGGACTCCTGACCTTGAACAGAATGAAAATGTGACCAATAGGCTCTATCTTTATTATTACATTGAGTCATTGAGACAGTGTTGCCCACCTTTGTGCGCAGATTAATATGAATGGAATGTGAGTGTTATAACATTATTGATTTTCAGATGAACCAAGGACCTATCCAGCAAGGGCCAATGCACCAGCCAGGCTACAGCAATGGTGGAGGTTACCCACCCAACATCCGTCCGATGGTCAAGAGAGAATCACCACCTCCACCTCCACCCCCGGCCACCACTCACCCCCTCTACCAACCCCCTAGATACGCAGCCAGCATGGGTGATCCTCCAAGGGGGGGCTACTACCCGGCACAGGCTCAGCAGAACAGAACCAACAACGCTTATCTGCACGGCACCAACCCCTGGGAGAAAGAGGAGAAGGAAAAGGTAACAAATATTCCAAAACCATTATGATTCAGAAACTTATATAGTTTAAAAGTGACTCACTATCAATACAGTGATAGTCTGTTCAAGATTGGTTTGGAAGGGTCGCCTAATCCTGGAGTGTGTACAATTCAAAGAGACCACATAGCTTATAAGTTAAATTAAAAATGCCTATCACACATGTTGCAAGCTTAAAACTTTGTCAATTCAATTGTTCAGAGATTAATCTTACAACTATTTGAACACACATTTGTGAGTTTTAAAACCCAGAAATAAAGTCAAAATTTTAAATTAATTAGTGGGTTTACATTTAGTGACAAATTGTAACTCAGGGTGAATTTAATGGCCAGTAATATTTATGAGGCTGTGGTCTGTTTAATTGTTCCAAATACATCTAAATGGTATGTAGAATCATTGACTTTTTGACAATGAAGTAGACATCCTATCTGTATGGATCATCTATATCCAATTTTTTATTCAAATTGAAAGTATTTGAATGATACACTTACAGAGTTAAGTTATCAAAATTCTATTTTATCTTTTTATTTTTAATAACATAAAAGAAGAAATAGTTTACAATATGTTGTACCTTTAAAGTTAGGATTTTTTAAAGTTGCTTTATACAACGTAAATTGGTGATTGACGGCGACACGCTCAGACAGTGCCCAATTCAATTGGCGACAACTTGTGGGAATAGAGTGTCTGAGGTATGGTCTGTTGTAGGAGATGTTGATGCGCAAGGAGGCTGTTAGACAGTGGCGGGACCAGCAGATTGCGGAGTTGACGGCTCTAGGCTCCACACGCAACCCGCAGCAGGAGGAACAACTCCGCGCGCTCCGGCTGGAGAAGGAGTTTGAGCGGAGAGCGGAGGAGGAAGCAGAGGAAGATGAGGAGGAAGACACGGTGAGTGGGCTTACAACTTTTGTTTTCCTAGGTTATAGCCCGGAATTGTGTTCCATGTTACTAGTTACTGCAACCTAGGCATAGAGAGGGGGTCTCTGCATTATTGGTAATTGGCAGGATTTGAACCCGGGACCTCGGGTACCAAAGTCTCTTGCTCTATCAGCTCGCAATGGGTTTGAAACTGCCTCAAATCCATACTACAGATATTAGAGAAAATATAGACAAAATACAAAAGTATTTTTTTTACATTATAGTTGGCAAAGTGTGCAATAAACAACAGTTTACATCAATCCAACTCTGTTTTCAACAGAAGTTTTGCAAAAAGTCAGTAAGGATCAAATAGTGTAAAATGTAAGAAAATACTGAAAATAATTATTTGTTATGGACAAGATTTACAGCAGGTTTTGTTTTTGTTTTCACAAAATTTATAATTGGCCTGAATTTAAAGTCGGCGTTTTAAAGTTGTTATTTTCCAATAGTACTTTACGAGATAAACAATTCCAAAATCTATTTCGGTTTTGTAGTATTGTTTTATATTTAACCTAAAATGTGTTTTGCAGTTTTTCCCAACTAGCACAACAATAGCAACACAATACAACAATAGCTTATTTGTTTTATAGTTCAATTGTATTACAATATTAAATGACACTTTGGTTAAGGATATCTTAGGCTTTTCTTTGTATCATGAAATTAAATAAAAAGTGTATTGTTTCAGGAAAGCTCAGAGAGAGTGCAAGGACTGTTGAGAGTTGCGAGACAGCAGGACGAGAGAAGACAGCAGCAGCAACAACACCAACAGCAACAGCAACAGATTCATCAACAACAGCAGCAGCAGATGCATCAACAGCAGCAGCAGCAGATGCACCAACAACAGCAGCAGCAGATGCACCAACAACAGCAGCAGCAGATGCACCAACAGCAACAGATGCATCAGCAACAACAGCAGATGCATCAACAACAAATGCAACAACACGGGATAGCAGGATCCCCGTCACCTGCTGCCTCACGTCCTCCCTCCCACCAACAGGTGAACGGCATTGTGGGCCGCACCACCATGCCCCCCACCACTACCTCTGTTGCTAACAACTACCCCATCACTACCACACCTACAGGGTGAGTAACTAGCCTAGGCACAATGAGAGTTCGGGTGAAAAAATTGTTTTTGATCACAGTTAAAATCATATTATAATACAATTTCATGAAGGTAAAAATGATTTATAATACATATATACCATACCTATTTATAATAATTAGTCATGGCTGATACGGCATATTTATGCCAGCCAAACCAGAACACAAATAAACCACACATAGTCTCTGGTTTGGTAGTAAACACATAAAACCAATATGTTCTCGTAAAAAACACAATTTAAATAGTGATGGAATAAAAACATAAATGTTAATTTTATATAACAACTCGCTCTTTGTTAGTTACTTATCATGATCTGTTTTGTACTTTAGACCTGGAGTGGAGGAGAAGGAGAGGCTGAGAAGATTGAAAGATATGAGAATGAAACAAGCAGAGATGGAGGCCGAAGCTCGATTGAAACGAAGAGTAAGTGTATTGCAGCCAGAATAGGTCTTAAAAATATATCTTTGACTCCCAAGTCCCAACAATGTTGTTCTACTATATACATATAAATTTTAAAAAATAATTTCAGGTAACGTCTTTTGGTTAAATTGACAATCATGACCCCATATCAGGAGCCAGAGAATACTTAAGTGTCTATTAAAACAACAACTGGTTCCAGCTGACTTGTCAGTAAATTAGTGTTTTACTATATTCGTGTTCTGGAACTTGATGGAATTCAATGATGGAGCCAGTCCCCAGGTAGCACTGAGCATGGTCACGTGGGATGTTACTGATCATTACCCACATGTTTAACTAGATGCATTAATAGGTTTCTTTAGTTTATTACAAGTTATCCATGATCATCAGTATGTTATAAGAATGTACGGCTAAAATATTTGTTTGAATAAAAATTTCACATATTGTCTTAACTATACAGAAAACTTTTACTTTTTTTAGTTATAATGTGTTCTCTTGTCGATAGGATGAAGAGCTTAGGCAGCAACAGATCAACAATCAAGCCAACAGCCAAGGAACCCCACCGCGACCACCCTCTCAGTACAATGGTTACAGCCCCCCGCCACCCCCGGAACGGGGCAGTAGCTTCCAGGTGATGAGCCAGACACAGGGTCGTAGCCCCGTCACTCCTGTCAACAACAATAACAACATCAGCAACAATAACAATAACAACACTGGTGGGGCCAAGCGGGTGTCATTCCAAGACCCGTCACCACCCACAGTGAACAACCTGCCACCCCCACCACTTGATAATATCCGGGAAGATCCCAACGTAAGTGATACACCGAGTTAAAAATTCACTTCTTGTGTTCTTTATTGTGGTTTTCTCTATTTTTCACTGGTTGCATAATTCAAAAGCATCTTTTATCAGAATCGACTAAAGTCATTCTGTTTTACTCATTAAGTACCTGTTTTGGAGGTTTTCTGCCAACTAGTTCTGTACAAGAAAACCATGCTTGTTTCTAGTTGTTATATTGAACAGAATTACACAATCCGATCAGATTAAGTATAAAATTTTTGTAAATGTGGAGTCTTTAATTGCCCCTGTGAACTTACGTATCTTTAAAATCCATCATCAATTGAAACATTTTTTTTGTAAGTTGGTAACAATTTTGCTAGCTAACTTGTTTGGTTTTTTTGCAGAATTTCATAAATGAGGCGGAAACAATGCTGGCTTCTCCAACCAGTCCGGACACTACTTTCACAGGAACAACGCCCGGAGTGATCGGAGCACAGGAGGTTTACAAGTATGTACTTGATGTTGGCTAACTGACAAAAACACATAGATAACTAATGGGAGAATGTATGTGTAAGAAAGATTTCTGATACCGTTTAGTTGTGTATTTTATTTTTTTACTCCACTAAGCCAGTGCTAAAATTTAAAAATTTTTAACTTTGATTTTTATAAAATTTAGGGATGGACGAGATTGGATTTTTAGTTTGAGACGAGACGAGACGAGATTTTTTATTTCTCATAAAATTTCGAGACGAGATTGAGACGGGATTTCCCTTCTCATACACAACGGGAAATGCACGTTCAAAATTTTTACCTGATTTTGTAACATTGTTAGATGACTGTTTAAATACAAAAATAATGATAATAGGCAAGAATATTTACAATCTTTTATTAAAAACCATCAGCATAACATTTTTTTATTAATCACGCCTAACTTATTAAAAATGCCTACGATTAGGAAACATAGTGATATCAGTTAGGATAGAGTTCAACTTATCATAAAATAAAATAAATCATAAAATAAAAGCAATATTAATTTTTATAAAATAGTTAGGTACTTGTTTTGACTTTTTATAGTAATAAAACATTCCTCACACGGCTTACACTTAACAAAACTTCTCAAATGTTATTAAAGTAATATTATTAAAATAATTAAAGTAATATTTACATTTAAAGAATTAATTAAATAAGAACGCCTCCGCAAAGGAAACGCAACTACAACACGCTCCTGTATTGCGGGTATTGCATTGACTTTCTGCAGGCGTTTTTAATTTTTTTTTTTTTTTTTTTTTTTAATTCTCGTCTTGATTAAAATCTTGGTCAAAAAGAAATCTCGTCTCGTGTAACGAGATTTAAAATTTCCCGAAAATTTCCCGAAATTTCGAGACTTGACCATCCCTAATAAAATTCCACATTTTGACTGGAGTACACATAATTTTGATCTATGATTTTTATTTAGACCTTAAGACTACTGTACTATAAACTAACAATTAATTGTTGTTTGTTTGGGTTTTTAATAACTCTTAAGTACCTAACAAACAAATGGGAATGCATTTAAAACTAGCTTCTATTGCTTTCATCCCTAGTATCTGTTTTTCATTCTGTGTTTATTGTGTAGAGACCCTCGTCAGCGAAGGTTGCTCGAGCAGCAGAATCAGAAGATGATGTCAGCCAAAGTCCCGGAGAAGTTGAGCTTCAAAGAGAAGATGAAGATGTTTGCTATGGAGACTGGTGAAGACACGACTCCCAGGGACAAAGTGAAGATTTCCCGAGCTCAACGTGAGATTGACAACATCGGTTCCCCCACCACACCCAACAACAACCCTCCCGCCGGCAATAACAACTGAACTGCAAGCAATAAATATGCCAGTGTACCTGCGAGCGCACCCGTCCTTGAGACTTTTCTGACTGACTTGTACCAGTCAAGAGAATAGATATTAGTGAAAAATATTGACATATTCATTAGTTTTATATGTTTTGTACATTCCAGAAGAGTTGATTATATTTAGATTCTAAATATAATAAAATATTTGTATGTACGTATACTTTTTAGTTTTGAGTAAGTGATGTAAAGCTATTTATTTTTATGTTGTCTTTGTAAGTTTTGACAACCAATTTATCGCAAATTTTTATCTTATTGATACACGTGTTCTAATTTAAAGCTTATTTGAAGTTTTCCATCTTTCTTCAAAACATTTAGCGGATGCTACCTTTTTAGATTGTACTACCTGGACCAATTTTCTCGACCAAACATTTTACCGTATAAACATTTTTAATTATGCCTTCATCCGAGCTCTCTATGTTCCTACATGTTCTTGTATTGTCAACGAATATCTTCTCGCAATAATGTTATGTAGGAAACTTTTTAATGAAGTGCTGTAACTCCAATATATATGTGACTAGAAGTAAAATGTATTTTTATAATAATCGTCCTAGTGGCCTTCAAAAGTGTGGTTTCCTTAGAGCAATAAAGCCTGGAAGTCTGACATCGTGTAGAGTTTGAACAAACGCCACTGAAATCAACTATATTTTCTTTGTTATCCCATACTACGAGTTAGACTTACCTATGGTAAATATGTGATAGAAATGATCTTTATATCTTTAGGTATTCTTCGAGATTTATTAACCATTAATGAACAAATATTTTTATAGATTGTTACGATAATTATATATTATTGAGCCGGCTTAGTAAAGTGTTGTAGTTTTGTAAATCATATCGCTTTTTAGGTGTATGAAAATATGTTTTAATCTCAAATTTTGTTTATAATTTTGTTGTTTATTCTATTTGGTTGATATTCATATTGAAGTCAGTAATGATATATTTTTGTTAAGTTATATTCATTTTATCGTTATGTGTAAAGTGTACATTGTTGGTAGTTAGGAGAAGTCAATTACAGAAAGGTTTGTATATAAAGTTAATCTACTTTGCATGTATTTATGTATAATAACATGCAGATTGTTAAATCGGTAAGATCAAGTTTGTGTGTATAATATAATAAAAGAGATCATGTTATTTAAGTGTCTGTGTTTCCTTTCTGTTAGTACTATACCGACATAAAACCAACTCATAAACCGACATTCTAAAATTTAAAACTGGACACAGGAATAAGAATCATTATTGCTGTTGATGCAACTCTGGATTTAAAATAAGACTGGAGCAAACCTGCAAACTGCAGACTGAGACTAGCAAATTTCCATTTGTCTTGTCTTTTTTTTTAAACCAAAAGTTGTAAATAAAACGTGAGTTTACTTTATGTTTTTACAATCTAAATAATCTATACCGAGCTTGGTCCCCCGGTACTTTTCTTTAATATTACCTTACCTTACCTTCTTGGCCATTCAAACCTAAGTTGGTTTTTTCCTCGCCAACAAGTTGTCTCCACTGTTTACTGTCTGCTGCTTGGTCAATTGATGTCCCCATGCGCTGAAGTTCTTTCCGCACCTGGTCTCCCCATCGTAGTTTGGGTTATCCTAGTAGTCGGGTCCCTCGTGGTTGTCCATTTGTAGCTATCTTCAGGAGACTTTTCTTCTCTTCTCGCTATGTGTGCGTTACTACATCTGGGTCTTCGTAAAGTTCTCGGAGTTCTCTGTTTTTCCTGATCCGCCATAGTTCATTTTCTTTTATAGGTCCGGAAATCTTTCTTAATATCTTGTTCTCAAAGACGAATAATCTCCTTTCGTTTTGTTTGGTTAGGGTCCAGGCCTCTGATCCATACAAAATTACCTGTTCAGTATTCATTAGCAGGCCAGCTGATCGTAAGAGACAGAGATAGAGTATATTGCAAAATCCCCACGCAACAATACAACAATCAAATTTATAAATGAAAACATTCTGGTTCCAAGTGCTTGCTTTTCTCGTAATATAGTTTCTTTGTGTAGCATCGTTCATTGCTCTCTCCTTTCATTTTTGACTTATTTCATTTACCATTTCCTTTTTTGTGCATTTGATAAACCCCTTTTAATTTGACTCTAAATTCTGTGTACCGCACTAAATCCAATTATCGATGAGGCTGGCTAAAAAGTAACTTTCGTCCCCCTTAACTTTTTGACGTATTGAGATATTTTAAATCAGTTTCTGGCAGCCTTCTTAGATATTAGGGGCTACAATAATGACGAGTAATTTTGAAAATTTTGTATTCAGGGTGGTTAGGGGTAGCTCAAAATTTTTAAATGGTAAGTATAGTCGAATTTGGTATCATTTTACAGGTCTTGATGAAACTTGGCAATTGGCCTAAAGTAAATAGAAATCGGACCACTAATAACAAAACGGCAGCTAAAAATGTTTAAGAAGCTGATTATTTAAAGTTTAAGTGCACATGAAAGGATTTATTATACGACCAAATGGAAAAAAGTCGATTTCTCTCATTTGTTTTAATGACTTTATTGCTACTCGGATAATTTTCCATGGGGGTTAAATTCCGGACTGTGCATAAGGTCTAAAAGGCAAAAGCCCTAGTTGTATGGGCTGGGGGAAATCCCGGCTTTTGTTGCTAATCTACACGGTCCAGTTTCATATAACTCACGAATCAACAGGGTTAAAATTCTACCAGCGAACAAACTTGAGAGCGCTCATGTTACTATGTCTTAGTGTCGTCAGCTCTGCTCTAGGGGTAAAGTTCCGGTGGGTGACCAAATCTTAAGATAATGATAGAATATTAAATTTTTTGTATGTTAACCCTTCCCGAATTATAAGTGAATATATTCGCTATCATTTTGTGCATAAGGCTCTGTGGACGGTAGACGGAGATTATTACGACATCTATTGTTATAGTTGATTGTATTAACGCATTGATCTTCGTAGAAACAGTCTTTTATTCAATTATATCTTTAACCGATGTACTAGGAACATTTATCTTGAAAAAATTAAACAAATATAACATCAAAATATATTTTTTTAAGAAAGAAATTTAAAAAAAAATTGTTTAATTATTTTGGACAAAAGTGCTGCATAGGTCAACATTCTATAAGATGTACGGTAAAAAAAATGTTTTTTTATTTTTTATTAATTTCGCTGTCTGTATACATATTATAGGCCGTCCGGGAAAGTTTAATTTTTGTAATACGGTAACAGTACTACTAACTGTACTATCAATGTATTTAACAAAACCTATATGTGGATATAACATTTTATATTTATGCTCTAGCGATTCCCATGTTAAGCCGCAGAAAAGTATTAAAGAGACGATTATAATGATTGTCTACTCTATGAACTTACTCATTACATACACAAAATTAAAGAATGATGACAGAGGTTTTGAATTAGTAATTAGTAACAAAAGGATGTGTACAATATATAATCAGAACTGTCAAAGTATGATTGTTGAGCGAAGCTCACTTTCCCTCACTTTGTAACTTCTTTGTAAGGGCATCAGAATGTAATGGCTTGACCAATTGATATGAAATTTGGCCAACAGCTAAAGAATACTGAGCACAATGTTTTGGTAAAAAATATTTGCAAATTTCCTTCTGGATTTTATTTTACAGGTCACGCAATTTCGCTTGTTATTTTAATGTAAGTTGAAAGAAAAATTATATTGGGTTTATCTCGTTTCATTTAAATAAGATAAACATATGATAATTGTTTGTAACTGTTTTGTTTACATTTCAGTGTTTACTTTCATCATAGGTTAAAGTTGGAATGTAACAGTTTATCAATGGAAGTAACAGTTTTGCTATATTTGTTTTGAGCATGCCTCAAAGGCCACGTCATAATATTGGTCGTCGCACCGATAATGCAAATATTGTAAGAGAGTGGCGTCGTGAACAAGAAGAACCAGATGAAGCAGTGGCGGAAGAAGCTGATAATGATAGGCAGTTAGCTAATCAATTCCAACATGAATAAGATGCACAAAAATGTTACACTTGCACTAATAGTCCAGTAAAATAAGACATTTTGCTATGCAAAAGGTCGGGTAGTTCTGATTTTTTGATATGTTGTTAGTATTGGGCCCATAACATAAAATCCAAGTTATCCACCTCAAGATACTGCCGCTCGCCGCGGGGCGCGCCACTTGTTATCGAAATATAAAAAATATGGCAATTCCTATTGTTTTTCACTCAATCTCGCGAACCGTTGATTTTACCGAAAATGTTATACTATTACATTAAAGAAGAATAAATTTGTGACATTTTAAGCCCAACAGCAAGTATGTAGCTTAAATAATGGTCAAAATACAGACCATCAAAATAAATAAATTTTCCAAAGGCGTATAAAAATTGTGGTTTTTTCAATATTTCCACAATATAGTTGTTTGAAGCAAACGCCGTATTGATTTAGAGAGTATGCCAGTTTATTTGCTATTAATAGAAAATAAATGAAAGTATGAATAAAAATACCCCCACTTCAGCAAACCTGCAGACTAAGCGAATTTCCATTTGCTTGATTTGATTTTCACAAACCTATTTAAATAACATTAGGTTTAACTGGTACCTAGATTTGCTGCCACAGGGAGGGTAATATAGTATATAAAATAATAATAGTATGATAAGAAACAAATAAATGTAACCAATTTTATAAAAATGTGTCTATAAATAAGGAAAAAACAATAATTAAAAATCTTTGCTATTGGAATAACTTGGGGTTTTTTTAATTACATTTTTTAATTTTTTTCCGTAACCAATAACTTAAAAAAAAATTAATCTACTAAATTATTTGCTTTAAGCTCTACAAAATTCTTTAATGATACAATTGTAAAATTGTGTATTTTGTTGAGGGTTAAAAATTAAAAAAAAATATTCTTACCGGTAAAATACCTATAAGGCAACCGTTCTTATGGCCTTATCATGCCGATTATGCTTCGCGAACTCGTTTTAATAAATAAATGTACGTTTACATGATTAAATGATTTATTTAGGCCATTAAGCAAAAGCAATAGGCTAAGTCACTTACAATACAAAGTAAATGATAAATAGTCCATCTCTTGATTCACAAATAAAAGTAATGTTTGTACCAAATTCCACTAAATCGGATGATTTTTGGGAATCATCGTGCTAACGGACGATAATAACTTTTTTGGATACAGTTTATTAAAGTCTTTAGTTTTTTTTTTGGATACAGGGTCTCTAAATAACTCACTTAGTTTGAAAATTTATTTATTTATTGTACTAGATACAAACTACTCTTCAACGACTGATGCCATAGAGAAGGCTACGGTGATACATTAAATGAAAGGTAATGAAATAAAAGTTATTTTAACACTATCACACCTCAATATGCGAACCATTGTAGCCCTGCAGACATGCAAGCTATTTTTACTCATTTTTATCATTAATATTTTATTATTTGTATTATAATTTATTACCAAAACTATGTTCAAGGTCAAATAGGTGTACGCAACTTATTGTCAACGTACGAAACTAAAACTTTGAAGGTATACTCTACACAGCACGAAATGATTATTACTCATCCATTTGAATAATAGTATCGTGAGGTATGTTTCAATTGCCTAATCAGACCAAATTCCACACCAGAACTTGTCTGTACGTCTTGTAGTTAAATTTCCGATCTTTGTAATTTTTTGTGTTCTTCAATATCAATCCTGTATTTAAATTCATATTCAGCATATCCTGTATAGATGGGCACACTTGGCGTGGAAAAATTACCCGCTGCATGGAAGATCAGTACAGTGATTGTAATTGGAAGATCTTATTTGCCTGAACTTTCAGCCTCAATAAACTGTTAACTATGTTAAACTGTTTTATTTTGTTTTCATGTGAAAGTATTGTTCCCAAAGCTTAGCTTAAATATTTATGTATAAACGTTTGACAGCTTTGGGAAGAATAATTTTGCCGTTGAAGGTATATTTTGAAGGTCTTTCTTTGGCATGTAAACCTACATTTTATTAAAACGAGCTCGCGAACCATGATCAGGCCATGGGAACGGTTGATTTATAGAATCTTTTGTTAAGAACGGGTTTTTCGTATTTTTGACCCTCAAAACATACAATTTTACAATGTATTTCTAAACCATTTTGTAGAGCTTAAAAACAAATAATTTAGTACATTAAAATGCTTTTTACAGTTATTGGTTACGGAGAAAACTTAAAATTGTAAATTAAAAAACCTCAAGTTATTCCAATAGGAAAGATTTTTAATTATTGTTTTTTCCTTATTTATAGACACATTTTTATAAAATTGGTTACATTTATCTGTTTCTTATCATACTATTATTATTTTATATACTATATTACCCTCCCTGTAGCAGCAAATCTAGGTACCAGTTAAACCTAATGTTATTTAAATAGGTTTGTGAAAATCAAATCAAGCAAATGGAAATTCGCTTAGTCTGCAGGTTTGCTGAGGTGGGGGTATTTTTATTTATACTTTCATTTTTTTTTTAACAAGTATTTATTTACAATCTATTCTATAATAGAATAATAAGTAAATTTAATAACCATTTTAACATGGGTTAGTTACACTCCATCAAGTGCACTAACATACAAAAACTTTTAAAAAGATTAACTAAAAACGATTTGGAAGGTCTATTGGATTAACTCTTTTGAGCCTATATGTAGCTTCACTATTGTCGAGGAGGTTGACTGCCAGGAAATTTGGATGGGTTTCTAATTTTCTTTGGTATTTTTCACTTCGTTTCTTTATTTCTTCTTTAACATAGGGTAATTTTGTATCTTGATGAATTACTTTATTTGTGACAAACCAAGGTGCTTGTAAAATTTTTCTCAGTGTTTTCGATTGAAACCTTTGAACTATTTCTATGTTTGAGTTGGAAGTGGTTCCCCAGAGTTGGATGCCGTAGGTCCAAATAGGTTTCAATATAATTTTGTATAAAAGTAATTTATTTTCAACAGATAATTTTGAATTTCGACCAATGAGCCAATTTAGTTTGTTTGTTTTTAAATTTAAATGAAGTCGTTTGTTCCAAATGTGTGAATGCCATGTAAGCCGTCTGTCGAGATGCATACTTACTTAGCTTCGGTACTTGCATAGGTACTTAACTTCGTTGGATTGTGGAAGCATGACATTATTCAATGTTACTGGGGGACAAGTTCTTGTAGACATAGTAAATGTAACTTGAACGGATTTTGTTTCATTTACTTTAATTTTCCAATTCTGTAGCCACTGAGACAAATCGTCTAATGCAGCCTGAAGGTTTGATGATGCCAGAATAGGATCCTGATTTGATGATAAAAAAGCAGTGTCGTCTGCAAATGTTGCAACCGTAATACCCTGAGTACTTGGAAGGTCATAAGTGAACAAAATATACAAAATAGGTCCAAGAACACTGCCTTGTGGTACACCTGATTCAATTTCATGCACATCTGTAACTATATCTTGCCCAGATAGCAAGGACCCTTGATTCAAGGTAAACTTTTCCCTACAATTTGCATTCACAATTCAAGGTTGCAAATATTAGGAACATTGTGGCTGGATTCAAGGACAACAAAATACTGCCCTTTTTGAGTTCATAGATTCCGCCCTGAAACAGAGTCAACAAAACAACAGCGCGAATTCCCATGATGCAGTTCGACCAAGCGACGCCAGCCAGACGCCAGACGCCAGGATCCACCCCTAAACAATCCTAACCTCTTTGTCTTTGTCTTTGTGTGTCTTGTCAGTTTGTCTTTTTGCGACGTTTGTTTCTCGCGTTATTACTATATCAGAGTTTTTAGACATAAAGTATTCATATTGAAGTTAGTTTTTGTCTATTTTCAATTTCTTTGTTCATAGTTAATTCCATAGTGTTCGATTTTAGAAGACTAACTGCAACAAAAGTGCTTGTGAGCCAACGAAACATAAAGGTGAGTCAGCTAATCTTTTCATTGTATTCATAATATTTTTTCCATTCTTATGATAAGATATGTGTGTTAGAATGCTAATCATACTGACATTAGAACCTCAAGTTACAAATGCTCTGAAAATTATCTTACAACAATAAACTGCCAAATTTGGACTAGGATCCAGAATAATTCTAAGCCTGTGCTTGCCCTAGGCCTCATGACTGGTGAATTGTTTTATAGTTGGCCTAGAAAGTATTGTGATCCGTTGGAATATTGTATCTGGAATTGTTCAAGACCTAGTTACTTATTTTTGCCAAATCCGGTGGGCTACAATATTATGAACACACAAGCCAATATGTAACTTAATGATGCAGTTTTTTATCAGCGTAGATTGTCTTAAGTTATCATAGGCCGAAGTTATGAAGTTTCGTTTAAGAATGAAGAAATGATTTTCGATGGATTGGATAAATAGACCTAGGCCTATAGAAAAATATTTTAATTTAGCTTAGGCCTATGTCTTAAGTTATAGACTTGGTACTGTAGCCTAGGTCTAAGGGCTTATCCTAGTCCTATGTCCTGATGCTAGGGTTTTTCGGCAAACGTTTAGATGGGTTAAGATTAGCATCTCTCAAAGATTTTAAGTTTTGTACGCCATACCCATTGATTAAACTAAGTAAAGGTAGGCTACCGTAATGAACTAATTTAAAACAACCTTCTACAAAATGTCACTTGGGAGACCTGCCATTTTGGTTTTATGCAGCTGTTAACTTTAAATCATATCCTGGTAACTTGTGCCTATTTAAGTTACTAAAGATGTATATTGCCCATGCTGTAAGTTGTAAAGTTATTGTAACAAGGTTACCTAGGCTGCTGTGTTATTTTTCAAATTAACTAATTAGCTTCAGCGAACACAGATTCAAAACAAGTGGCTTGCCGTTTGAACAAACGTTACAAGATGAGTTGCCATCTTGCTTTGCATCGAAATTTGCAGAATTTAGAACTGTAATTTAGACATTATTATGAATAACTTGGTCTGTGTGCTGCAATTTAACTTACGGTACCGGTATTAACAATTTTGGAAAAATTCTGAAATTTTCTGCTTTAAATAAACCTTACCATTTGTAGGCCTATAGTTTTTAAATTTTATTGATGATTTGTAATTTAAAACAAAAAATATTAATAGCCTAAATCATAACTTAATATTATTAAAACCTTAGAGTAAGAAAGTTAGTACCTAGGTTAAACTTACTAAAACTTTCGTTTGTTGGTCAAACAAAAATTCACTTTGGAAGAAAGTTGTTTAAAAAAAAATTAATGCCAGACTTATGGTTTACTTCTTTTTCCATCTTGCTTAATTTAGCCAGAATTTCAGGTTGAACAGAGAGGCAAGACCATTGAACGAGTCTAAACTAAATTTTTTGTACTTGATTCATTTGGTAAATCCCACTGTACACCCCTGAAAACACACACTGACCAATTATGTCTATTCTGTACTTTACTACAGAAGTGAGATTGTCAAAGCTAGTTTGTTAAATACAAATACATGGCATATTCTCTCTAAAAGCTGATTGTTTTGTATTTTTCTTCCAATACTAGCTGTAACCCGCGGGCTTTGCCCCGTTTAACTTCTTAATTTTCAAGATGATCTCGTTCGCATGGCTCAATCACGTCCTGGTTGAAGTTTGTTCGCTACGCTCACTCACCTTTAGATTGGAGCTCGTTCGCTACGCTCACTCACCTTTAGGTTAGAGCTCGTTCGCTGCGCTCACTTGCCTTCAGGTTAGCTCGTTCGCTACGCTAACTCGCCTCCAGGTTGAAGTTCGTTCGCTACGCTCACTCACCTTTTGGTTGCAAATTAGCTGTTGTCATAAATGTAAAAGAAATAATAGTGCTGCACCCTGTTGGTAATCCTTGTAACTTTAATGCTATTAAACATCATAGAACAGAACCAACTTGTTTAATTGAAACAGCTGTTAAGATTCATTAATTCCATTTCTCATAAGGTTAACATGGGAAACTCCAGAGCCACTGGGGCGGAGCCCAGAGGTCGGAGGGTAAAATCCTTTCTTAGTGATCGTCTACTACCCAAAAGGATGATGCCTGCCAAGATTCAGGTTCCTAGGTCTTATGGTTTCTGAGATTTCGTGATGAGTGAGTGAATGCATGAGTCAGTGGTATTTGAGCTTTATATAGATTTGCATAACAAATTCTTTTGTTATTGTTATCTATTATGAGGCGTTTCACTTAAACTGTTTCAGTTGTAGCCAAGAGACTGTTGGCTGAAGCCACTGAATTGAAAGTAAAAAAAAAGGGGTGGCGGAATTGTACCCCCCTGGAATTGTACCCCCTGCTGGTTTGTGACGTCACGATGACGTCTCATTTTCTCGACCAAAACGGCGTGTACGGGCTGGAATTGTACCCCCCTCATAAAACTTTGATATTGTTATGCACGAGTGGTTTGATTAAATCCACTGGCATCTAAAAAACTGTACGGACCGGAATTGTACCCCCTGGAATTGTACCCCCTCAGTTAGAACTCACTTTTATTTGACCAGTGTACGGGGTGGAATTGTACCCCCCTGGAATTGTACCCCCCGTCAGTCTAGCCCTTCTTATAGGACCGGAATTGTACCCCCCTGGAATTGTACCCCCTGGTCACCGCAGAAGAAGATGTACGGCCCGGAATTGTACCCCCTGGAATTGTACCCCCCCCCATTTAACCGAGGAGCTTGTCTATTATGATTACCAACTAAAATCAAACCAATAGTTATGTTGGATATTAGAGGGGAATAACACGAATGTGAACTGAACCAAGTTACCCGACACTTAATGAATTGCTTTTTGTGAAAGGATAGGCCTATTCTAAGAAACTGCAAATTAAGGCCATGCAGAGTAACGTGCGAGAGGCCTAACAGACTTCTTTGTACGTTATTCATTAATATTTTCTTAACCTTCCCAAGTACTAACTGTTCATGGGTTAGCTTAAATTCACAAAGGTTAAAACTTTGACAAACTGTGAAATACTTTGTACCTGATACCTACATTCGGGACAACGTAAGTTTGCAGTTGTGGTAGGAGCCTATTTACCATATGGTTTTGAATGAACTAATGAGAACCGTGCGGTGTTGCCAAATCTAATAATACCAGCTGATTTGATAATATTGCTTAGTAAGTATATTTTAATTTGTGTTGTCAACGGGCGATGTGGCAAAGTCGCACTAGCCTTGTCTTGTGATTGGCTGGCACCATCTGCAAACTTACGTGGTCCCGACTTAAATTTTACAACAGGTATTTTGTCCAACTTTGCCAGTAATAACTGTTCATAATTTGTTACCGAATAAACAATAATGCATATTATGTTTGAATGAACAAAAATGAAATACATTAACTTCTTTTCACGGTCATATTAAATTACGTTGAAAAGAGTGACGTGAACAAATAACCATTCCATTCTTATAGCGTAGTTATTGTATACAAACTAGTTTAGCTTAGTTATTAGGCCTATGTGCAGTAATCAAAAGGTAAGTATTTCAAATTTATATAACCAAGCCGAAATTCGCTGCTTGCGACTCCTCTTGAAAACAAAGTTTGTTAGGATTTGCACTGCTTGTATCGTTTTAAATAAACCAATCTGCTTGGGTTATAAATTTATTTAGAAGCTTTGTCCATGAGGGAATCAAGCTCAGCGTTAATTTCGTAAACGTTTATTCCATATTGCTTGGCCTTTTATTAAGTCCCTAAGGAAGGCAACAGGTATATCCTGCGATCACAAGAACATCACAGTTATCCCAAACGATCACAGCAAATTTGTCGTCATCTCCCACGATTACGGCAACGCTGTTTGTTATCATCTCTTGCGATCTCGGATACAATGTGGTAATTTACCGAAAACGCGATTTAAGAGACACAAAAACAAGACGTGATAAGGTAACTAACGGCGACTCGTTACAGATTGCTTTGGTGGATATTATAAAATGTAAATTTCCCTTTTCGCACAAAGTATTCATTTTCTTTGGGCACAAAAGTCCCAGGTATTTCCCTAGTCATTAAAATTCAATTTTAGTTCTGTTAGCCAAAGTACTACTATTTTGTAGGAAACATAGACTTAACTTTACGATGATTTTCAAAGGAAAACCCTCTGAATTAATCTGGTACGGCAAGGACATTTATAGGTGTTCATAAAAGTCAAGTCATTTTAAAAGAATATGATTGTTTCTTTTCTTAAAAGTACTCGTGTACTTGGACGAAAGCCAGGATAATAAATCAAAAACTCCTAAACAAACTTGAAGAAGACATTCTGTACAATAACGGCTACGTTAACTATATTATTCAGAGATAATCTATCCATTTATCTATCAACCCATCTGTTTGTTTTGTTGTGAACTGATGTTCTTGAAATGATTATTTGATAGAAAACATTTAGATTAAATTAGAAACACTGTGATGTGAACAAAAGAATGTGTATTATTACTGAAAACTGTTTACAAAAATTAATAATAAATATACCATGTGTTAATAACAAAAGTACAAGAGAAAAATGTATATACAGACCAAGGGATAAAATTATATGCTTTTAACACCATCTATTCAATAATAAAAAAATAGCATGCACATTTAACACAATGACACACACTTACATTTTACTCAAATTGAATGTATGTATGTATGTATGTAGACATTAATTTTCATTGTATATAGTTGAGCGCTTTTTTCCTGTGCTTGTGTCACAACCATGTCACCAATGGCTGGCTTGTGTAATGAGTACGCAGTGCGGGAATTCAGTGCATTTTTGAGACCAAATCGGTTCTGAGATGACCGGAAACCCTGTCACTCACTTACTTGTGAGCGATTTGTTGCTTTACGAAGAACCATTACCGAAGGTCATGGCTCTTACAATAATCCCTGTATCTTCCGGCCTGCATTGTTGTTTGCTTAATAGCCTTTTAGAAAAAGCGTTGACCCATGATGTGTACTGTGATTGTGGCTTCGTCTTGTGTATTTTCAAAGTTTGAAGGAGATTAAAAGTTAAATTTTATGATCAGATTTTATGTTATTAGATAATAGTGTATAAAAAGTATTACAGTAAAAACAAACTAAGCAATAATGTAATCAAGTTGTTCATGGTTTAAAGAAAATTAATAAAATATGCATATAGCCCGAGGCGAAGTAAAGTGGCGAAGCCAGATTTTTGGATAATCTCTTCACAATTATAGTTCCTTAGTACAATCACTATATTCTGTACAGGTTTAAAAATCCAACATATGTCACTGTAGAAGGCATTCTCTACTACTTCATTTTCATAATACCAATTAAGTTTATCGAGTGGGTGGGGGTACAATTCCAGCCCGTACACAAGCCAAGCTAGCTGTCCAAGAGGGGGGTACAATTCCGGGGGGTACAATTCCACCCCGTACACATTTGGCTTTCTGATGGGGGGTACAATTCCAGGGGGGTACAATTCCACCCCGTACGTAAATACTTTGATGTTGGCAGGGGGTACAATTCCGGGGGGTATAATTCCAGGGGGGTACAATTCCGGGCCGTACATCTCCTGCTCTTTTTAATATCTAATATAATTATCCGGTTCACTGATCACTTGCCCACATTAAATAGATTAGATTTCGTTAAAATCAAAGTGTACGGGGTGGAATTGTACCCCCTCTAGGCGTGACGTCAAAATGACGTCAACGATCGCCGGGGGGTACAATTCCAGGGGGGTACAATTCCGGCGACCCAAAAAAAACTGTATCCGTGCATGGCTGTGACAAGCCAAATTTAGGGCCAGTACCTAAAAGGTTTGTAGAGCATATTAGTTATAGAACTGTTTATTTCATAAGGTTTACTTTTGTTGTTACAGTAGAACCTCGATAGTTCGACACTCCCTGTAGTTCGACACAGGCCGTGATGACAAGACATGGCATCAGTGGCCGATGACGGGTTCACCAAGGTTAAAAACTAGAGCATTCTTAGTGTTTTCGTGCATGGAAAAACTCAATAGGTAGCCTACTTAAAATATCCCATTAACTTACATTTTTTCTAAGATCCAAAGTGTAAAAAGCATGTGACGTAAATTATGAGGGGCGAATAAGATTGTATTTACTGAGCAGCCTACCCCTAGTACCAGCCACGCTCAAATTTCTTCCCCGGGGTGCTGAGAAGGATTCACGGTTTTGACTGATCAATTATTTTAATTTAATCTAAGGTTCAGAGCTCTAGAAGCGCTCAAAAGATCCTGCAGACGCCCAGGAGGAGAGCAATATCATCCTCGCCTTTGTTAAAATGTTATTGCAAATTTTGCCTAACTTTTAGAATAACTGTAGGACAGACGAGTACTCTACCCTGGCCAATTCGATAAAACTACCTACTCGTTTAAACTGTTGCAACAACGGGTTTTAGAATTCTAATAACAAGTCTCGGGTTTGTTAATTTGGTTTATTAGTATAAGGAACATACAAGGGTGGTTTTTCAAGTAAGAGCCAGTTTCTGCGTATAAATCCATAATTCGCTTAAGTACGCTGCAGCAAGGCTCCTCGCCACTTGCTGGTATCATTTGTGAACAGAATGACACAATTTGCAGCTCTGTAGCTGACATGTACCTACATTTCGCTGTGTGTTTCAACAATTTTTTAGACTTTTTGTCCCCGTACGCTAGGCTGGAGCCCGGGATTGTTTTTCACATTACTTCAGGCTAGACCTAGGGGTTACGGCATTATCACTTAGTTAAAATCCATTGGTGATTTGGCGGGATTTGAACCCTGGACCCCAGGAACCGGAATGACCGCGCTCTAACCACTAGACCTGCTCGCTCCCCAATTTTTTAGACTATTGATAATGTCAATGATAATCAGGGCCGGAGAGAGCCATCATGGGCCCCTGGGCTCAGCGATCCCGGGCCCCCTATTTACTTGATTTAGTGTCCAGCCGTCTCCGTGCCGTTTTGTCACACAAATAACTATATTAATAAATGTTTGCTCACAGTTTCAGCTTTAATCACAGTCAAAACAATTCAAGTAAAAAATTACTTATTGAACTGGAAAACCATGCTGAAATTTTTAACTCAAGCAGATTACATGTACAGAAAAAATTAAAAAAAAATTAGATAAAACATACTCCCTTAGTCGATACTTTATGATTTTTTTTTGTTGCAGGAAAAGAGGAGTTATTGGTGCACAGAATAGGAACATCAGGCTGAGGTTATGCGACAGTAAATAATGTATAAGTAAAATGTCACTTAATTTAACTCATGTTCTAATTTTCAAGTTTGTTTTATACTTTATATTTTCATAAAATAAATTTACTATAACCAATGTCACTTGCTACATTTTATTTATACCCCCACAAATAGTGATATTTTGGCTATGTTTGAAGAACTGTTTTGAACTTTTAAACTTTTTGTTGATCACTGAGATGTCTTTTCTAAAGCAGGGTCTGGTGTAATTTGATGAGGCCTTATTAAAAATTAAATGCTCTCACCCTTCACTCACAAGCTTGGCAGAATAGGCTTATTATTTTTAACCTAACTCAGTTATCCTATACAACATTTAAATAAAGTGTTATAGCATCATTTATAGGTTTCTAGCTGCCCCTCCCCTTGGGCTTCACAACAGAATTGAAAAATTTTCTTTGCTACAAACAGTTGTTTTGCATTGGTTTTGCTTAGAATTTTCCTAACAGCGGTTTGGTAGCTAATACAATTAAACTAAAGTTCTGTCAAAAGAAAAATATGTTAACATTGTAATTTTAAAGCCAGTGAGCTAGAGTCCTGATGGAATCTCTCAAAGCTACTTCTTGTACATATTAAGTGAAACCTATTATGGAGGTTAAGTGAAACCTCCATGCCACCAAGTTCTGAGTACATATGCATGGTAGTTTTTGAGGAATAGTGATCAATGAGTGAGTGAGTGGTAACTGTATTATAATATAGATTATAAGGTCAAATTATGTATCCACCCAAAGTTTTCTGCGTAGATTAAAGCTTAAGGTAATGTACCTTGCGTTTAATATTTTAAGGCTTAACTTACTGCCATAAAGCAACCAATATTTTGATGTCCTAATAGATAGCTGTCCCCGCGCTTAGTAGGCATCATTAAAGTTCTTGAGTTCACAAAGACAAAACAGCTAGGCTATCCACTAGGACATTAAAATATTGGACTACTTTAAGACCGTAAGAATGCCGTAAGTCAAGTAAAATTCCTTGTCAGTCAATCACTTGTTACTGTATGTACTGAGTTGATCATGATTATGCTTTTATTTAACCCGAATTCAACAATATATTTTGATTTCAGCCAAAAATCTTTACCTTGAATTAACCTTAAATTTTCAGGTTATGAGTCCTGAATTGACCATGATTTTACCTTAATTTAAACATACTTATACCTTAATTTAACCTCAATTCAGCCTTGATTATGCATTACTGCCAGAAACGTTTACCTTGAATCAACCTAAAATTTTCAGGGTTGATTCAGGTTTCACAAGTGTTCAGTAGGACCCTTGAATTAGCCCTGAATTAGGCTTGATGGCTTGATATTTTAAGATTAATTCAGGCTTGCATCTTTGAAAGTTTAACCTTGATTTAATACTGAATCAGGAAAAAATTGCTATCTGGGTGATATTTAATTTGAAAAAAGCGTTTGGACAAATACGATTTCAACACTCCATAGTATGTATGGGGCAGCAAAGTTTTAATTTTGAACAATAATCCTGTGTGCCAGACTTTATCAAACGCCTGGGCTACGTCCAAAAAAGCAGATGAACAAAAACGTTTATTTTCAAGATCTTCCTTGATTACATTCACTATTCTATGCACTTGCTCAATGGTGGAATGCCTTCGGCGGAATCCAAACTGATGGGAAGGCAACAATTCTTTTTCATCAATTATAATTTGGAGTCTTTATAAGAAAAGTTTTTCAAAAACTTTAGAAACCACAGGAAGAAGAGATATAGGCCGATACGAGGATGCTTGATGTAAAGGTTTACCAGGTTTCGGAATAACAACAATTTGTGAAACCTTCCACTGTATTGGGAAGTATTCAAGGCGTAAAACTGCATTGAAAAGTACTGTAAGGAAAACTATACCTTTTCTAGGACGCTCTTTCAACACTTTACCTGTTATCAGATCATAACCGGGGGCTTTTTTGCCGTTTAAATCACTTTAATATATTATATATTTAATATATTTAAATACTTTCATTTATTTTCTATTAATAGCAAATAAACTGGCATACTCTCTAAATCAATACGGTGTTTGCTTCAAACAACTATATTGTGGAAATATTGAAAAAACCACAATTTTTATACGTCTTTGGAAAATTTATTTATTTTGATGGTCTGTATTTTGACCATTATTTAAGCTACATACTTGCTGTTGGGCTTAAAATGTCACAAATGTATTCTTCTTTAATGTAATAATATAAAATTTTCTGTAAAATCAACGGTTCGCGAGATTGAGTGAAAAACAATAGGAATTGCCATATTTTTTATATTTCGATAACAAGTGGCGCGCCCCGCGGCGAGCGGCAGTATCTCGAGGTGGATAACTTGGATTTTATGTTATGGGCCCAATACTAACAACATATCAAAAAATCAGAACTACCCGACCTTTTGCACAGCAACCCCATATTTTCTGACAGATTTACTGGACTATAACTGGCATCGCCAACAACTTCAACAGCTTCAAACCAATCACCGATTTGTTCGCGTTGTCGTTCAAATGCAACTAAATTCACGGTGTTAAATAATATGGATGTGTCAAGTGTCCCGAACGAATTAACTGACCTGACGATTGTAGAACAAATGTTGATTGCACGAGTACATCCTGCTATGTCCATTTACAAAGTACAAGCAATGGTCAGGATGGCCAGTTTCACTACAAAGGTGCATAGTATAAACTATCAGATAAATTTGTCATTCTTTAGAATTGAAATAATATCGGGCAAACAAACGGTGAATCTGTTGAAAGGGAACATATTGAAGGGTGTTAGCTGCTTTAGCCATTGACAATCTTTAAATAATGCTTCGCTCATTTATGCGTCTAAAGTGTAACGGCAGACCACCCTAGTTAACGTTTTTATTCTTTTCCTACCACTGCATGGAAATTACAGCATTGCTTAACCTGTGGGCCTATACAGTACGCAAAATAGCCCATTTACGCTCGATCATTCCCGCTCGCTAATCAGCTGATTTTACCGTCGGCATTTCTACACCAAACACAGCCGCAGATCTGGTACGTTCACAACCGATAAGCAAAAAACATTGCCTAAAAATTAAACATAACTTAGTTACATTTTATATAAGTAACAAGTTCTGTGTATTATGATAAGTTTATTATGGTGGTAGGAAAAATCTTGTGTATATTTAGAGCACAAACCGTCATTGCAGCTCGAGAAATGTTGATGGCCGCACTAAGCTTTTTGGCCATTCATTTCGAGTTAACCATGGGTACTTTGCGCTCTTAATACACAAAATAGCTATTTCGAGCATAATTCATCAACTTAATGGCTTTCTTCGTAGTGAAACTGCTGTAGAATTTTTTTTTTTTCGTGTAACATCAATTTTCAATTGAGTGAATCAACAAATAATTGTAATGTGATCGTGGGTGAAGCCAGGCCCGGGGATAGCTGGCAAGCGGCTACCTACCGGTAGTTGGGTGGTGCTATCATTGACTATATAACACTATATAGTAATTAGATTTTAGAAGTGTTATGTATTCAATGGTGGTACTATATCCTCAGTTATTGGTTATAGGTAATGAAGTCAATACCTCCCACAAGTACTAGAAAAATACAGTATACGTGATACCTCCTTAGTGATAAACACCTTGTACGCAGTACCTTATGGTATAGTCGGGTCGCCGGAAGACTGCCCCCCGGAAAACTACCCCCAAGAAGGTTCCTACGTCATATTGACGTCAGAGACCGGGGGGCAGTTTTTCAATCACGGACACTCAAATTTAGTTGTCAAATAGTTCTAATCTAACCTAACCTAACCAACCAATAAACTTGCTGTAACATTTCGAAAATTGATTTATATTCCCCACATGCATTTTCTATTATCCAACGGAATTACTCGAATTAAAATTAAAATTACATAGCATGATTTGTCTAGGGGGGGTAGTATTCCAGTCGCGGACACGGCTTCCATATTATGGTTAGTTAGCAGATTTTGTGACGTCACGTTTCACCTGGGGGGATAGTATTCCGCATCCCCGTATAGTCTATCTTAGATTAGAAATCGCAAAGTTAACCACATATAATATCTTATCACTCCAGTTCCCTCGGTCAGGGCCGTATTTAGAATATAGGTATGAGTCCCCCAGTGGATCTCGCCAGAGAGGCCCCTCTCTATATTCTGATTCTTCAAAGGTTGGAGCTTAAGGGTTTAGAAATACACGTGGTATTGCTTGAACATCGGTCAATTGACCTTTTAACCATTAACCTGATCGAAAGAGACTTAGGAGACTAGCTAATAGAAGGGTCTATTGATTTCTTGCATGAACGCTAAAACGTCATCTCAGGCCCCTCCGATCACGTTTGAATCATGAACGTCTCATGTGGCTGCGGAGTGCGGAGAAATGGTGAACATCTTGCGTGAGCGCTGATATGTTATCTCTGTCTCCTCTGATAGTGGCGGATTCATGAACGACTCATGTGGCTACAGAGAAATGGTGAACATCTTGCGCGGCCGTGTAGACATCATCATCGTCTCCCGCGCAGTGGCGGATTTACCATTAAGGCACACTAGGCACTGGCCTAGGGGTGCTTGCCGTTGAGGGGCGTCCGGCCACGGCATGTGGCGCGCGGCGCGTCAGTGGGTGACGGGCGGCGTGGCGGTGGGCGCGTGGTGGTTAGGCTGTGGCATGCGTCCACACGGGTGTTTTTTTTTTCACGCAAAAATGTTGCTTGAAAATATGCGAAAAATTAAAATAGCATTGAAACGAATACCCGCCCACTGTGGAAAAACACACTGCGTGTGCCATTCCCCACACCGAGGGTCTCGGTGCATGTGTGTGACTATATACTGTAACGGTACTTAACTGTCTTAACTGTCCCCGGTTATACCATAGATAAAACATACTCCCGTTATACCATGGATAAAACGGTTAGCCGGTTGTCTATGGTCTTACTAGACTTCTCAACCAATTGTAAATTTTTAAGCTCGTTTTCGTGAATCGTGTCTAGTTCATGTCCGGTGACACTGGGAACTAGTCTCGATGAAATTCTGTTTCTAATAGTTTAGGGTTAATTCAGCAATGATTTGTGCTTTACTGGTTGCTTAAATAGAAGACGAGTTATTGTTTGTCATTAGATAGTTTTATTTGGTTAAACGAGGTTTTAAATGACTGAAAGGGAGTAAATTGTTTTGTTTAATTTTTTTACAGCATTTATTTCTGGTTCAATGAGGGCATTATTCACAGAAATAAAATAAAATAATAAAATTAACATATATACACTACATTATTTATCTATTTTTTTCTTTGCCTGTTTCTTCCTCCTCCTCTGCCTTCTTCTTGATTTCATCTTGACAACTATTCATTGTTGATTCCTTCTTCTCCTTCACTTCACACTTTCTCACCTGCTGTTCTGTTCTCATGTTCTGTTCTGTTATGCTCAATAATTGCTCAGCTCGCCTTGGCTTGGCTCTGTTCCTTTTCAATGAGTTGAGTTGAGTGTTGAGTGCTAGAAAACGAAATTCCGTGTGATGGTTAACGAGAGAAATAACAAACCGAGATATTTTAGCATATCTACTCTTTTTTCTAGGAAATTTCTTTTCAAAAGTGCGGCTGCAGTTGCAGTCATCGAGTTAGGAAGTCTTGCACTCAGTTACGCTGTTTGGAAACGACTCAACACCAATCAAGGTTAGACTAACTTAAACTTAGGCCTTTTGAACTATTGTTAATTTTACTACGAATTCTGCAAATGTCGTTTTTAAGTTAATATATTATGTTAAGCGTAATAATTTCAATCTTATATGACATACCTATCTTCATCTTTGCACGTAACTTAGGTGCTGCAGGCTATGACTTAACCATCGAGATCTAGGACTAACTCAAGGTGTAAGCCTTCGCCTACTTTAGGCTATATTAGGGCTTTGTTTTCTAATTCGTATTCCCTAAATGCCTATTCAGTCACAGTTTCCGGCATATTTATAGTTTTACACCCTTGTTGACAAAAAATTTGAACAGCTAGGCCTAAGTCAACAATATCCTACTAGCCTACCGTAGCCTAACTTAACACGTTCGCTGCTGCCCATCAAATGGCAGGCGTAGCCCCAGTGCGGCGCAGCCCGCAGCGTCGAACAAACCCGATTGCCGGGTGATTGGCTTTCATATTTCGGTATGACGAATATCAAATAACGTGAGGTGATGTCCTGTTTCATGACAAGAGTCGACGTAGTTTGCTAAACAACCACAGTAGATGCCATTATTTTACAATAAAATACACTAATATAGCATAAAATTACAGTTTACAAACGTAATGAGTGAGTTAAAATCCACCAGGTATAGTTTCGGAACGAGTAACGATAATTACAAACGGATTGCACCACAAAACTGCCAATGTCATTCACTAAGCACGGACAAAAATACTCCGTCCTACACCGGAGTGCGGCTGCACTCAAACAGAATAAGTTTGGCGGGTGCACATTACCGCCCGGGCGGTAGCTCCGCGCTCCGCCTCGCTGCGGCGCGCCGCCCGAGCGGTAACCCGCAGCGAACGTGTTAATTGTTTCTATTTGACAGTGAGGTGTAGCCTAGGCCTACTAAGTTTAACTGTTTACTAAAAACATCATAACTTAACCTAAAAAGTATCGACTAAATTGTAGACCTAGGCCTAATTTGTTGAGCAACTGATGGAACCCCAACTTTACTTAAAATGTAATATTATTTCAAATTGATTGAATCAAATTGTCAACCAGACTCTGATTCCTAGAGTCACTCGAGCAAATGGCATTCATAGAGGCAAACACCTTGCTTCAGTGATGCTGGTACAATGTAATTGTGTAATTCTGGAATAAAGAACTTGACTTATACAGGGGTGCCCATCCCCCCCTAGACTCATGACGCACCCCCCCCCCCCCAATTGAGCAACAGCCCCCCCCCCACCATAAATGAGGTACACAACAAATGAGAAACATTATTTCCCCTCCCAGCACTATTTGTAAAACTAAATAAGTTTTATAATTTTTTTAAGATATTGAAAATTCAAACCCAGTTAAATATATTGATAAAGTTATAGTTTTGTCTGTACATTGCTAGGAATTATACATATCTTGGGTTATTTTTTTGTTTTATACATTGAAGAAGTTGAAACATGTCTTAAGATCTAAATTGATGTCCGTCTGTCACAGCCCAGAAGGCATTTTACGCAGCATACTCTAAAGAAAACTAGAGTACCGATTATGATTCTAATGGTTTAATAGTATTCACAGAATTAGCGATAGTGTCCTTAGCCATTAAAATATGGCCTCACTATTTTGGAAATAAATCATTTTTTTTTCTCCATGTTTACTACATACATCATTTATTAATAATCTGTTGTGAGGACACGTCACATATGAAATTACGAACAGCTGTTTTGATAAAGATTCCTTTTTCTAGCTGTCACTGATATGTTTACATAAATGTTGTTTATGAATACTGTGTATGCCCTAACGATTTCCAATCACGTTTGTAACCATTTCCGATCACGTTTGTAAGCAAATCCAAAACCAAGTGAGATTAACAACTGTGTGGCTTTGGCTTACATAACGGGTTTGATTTATCACGGGTACTAATATGTAACTGTAAATTAAATTTAAAAACTAGCCATCATCCAGGTCAGGAACCGGAGATTCTGTGTGTATAAAGTTGTACTTGAATTTTGATTACCGGGAAAAGAACGTGAATCAGTTTTGTACAGGACTGGAAAACTTATCTTTCTATATAACTAAAATTAGAGTTTTATAAGTCACCTCAATTTAAGGATTTTTTATTGCCAGACTATCTATATAGCGTTCGTAACCTCTGCTTAACGAATAACATAACGATGATATAACGACCCCCTCTCCCTCCCTTTGGAAACATCACAGCTCCTTTGGTGAAAATAAAATGGAAACAACGCTTGCGCCAACAATCGTCTGCTCCGTTTTACACTTCTGTCTGCTGTGCGCTATGTTACAACAGATCTAAGATACAACAGCTGGGAAATGATGACGATCCTGCTTAGTAAACTGTGATTGAGTGATAACCGTGGTAACTTTAGTAAGGCTGTGATTGGGCAATGAGTAGGCCTAAATATGGCGACTTGTTGAATTTGTGTAGCCTATGAATTGAAGAGAAACCTAATAAAGACCAGAAGAAAAATTTAAAAAATAACAAGATCGTTCTTGTTACTTTAAGAGTGTTTTTATTATCTCTAAATATAATTTTACACTTTTTTTTCACTTATCTATCAACTCCTATGTTGTGATACAGCACCTTCCGGTAGCCTATCTGTCTATCATCAGCAGTAGCTGATAACACTTTCTAAAGGTTCCTTTAATATTTACGTTATTTATAGCAATGCAGTGTTATAGTTAGGTATTAGTTAAGTTTAAGTTAGCTATAATTTTAAACGTTGCCGGTTGTACAACTAAACCAAGATAAATGATTTGAAATGTATAATAATAATGTTATTGAACAATAATAATGATTGAGCAATATTTAATTTCGTTTATAAAAATGCAAATCGTGACGTTAATGGCTGTTTACAGCGTTTTAATGGGTTTGTCATCTGTTTTGTACTATTTTGGAATAACCGTATTTTTCATTACCCCCCTCCCTTTTAACGAGCTTTATGTCAACAAAGCGTTGTTTAAGACGCGGTGTACCGGTAGCTTGTGTCTGTGTCACGCGTTATTATCTTTATCTCAGCATCAGTTGAGCCATTCCGTGCCCTCCCTTTTATATCTCATGTCTTGCTAATCTTGAATAATAACTTCCTATACAAATCCTAAACTATCATAAAATCCTATTTTAACTAATTGAATTCAATAACATAACTTTTGTCATTAATTAATCGACTTTCTATCTGGTGACTTTGTAATATATTTTGATTTTCGTCACGTTGAACACTGTTGCAATTAACTTTAGCCACCCCCCCCCCATTTGAATTTTTGCAGCCCCCCCCCCCCAAGAATTTCAATGACACAGTCTGCGTCACAGCCCCCCCTTGTGGGCACCCCTGACTTATGATTGTAAATCAGGCCTACAAAGATACGAAGTTGGTCTAAAAGAGATACAAAAGTATCAATAAGTACAGGGGCGGACTGGCCCGCCGGCCCACCGGGTGGGCCGATACGCCTTCTCAAAATTCCAATATTTGCGCCCTCGTTAAAGGAAAAATTCATAAAAATTTTTAAAAAATGAGACGAGACGTATTTTTAAAAAGCAAGATGAAAAACTTAAAGTAAAAGTTTCAGCAGTGAATAGCAAAACATAAAGTCGGGTGTGAGACCGGAATAGACACTGTCGACAAGCGAGAGCAAAGCAGTTCTTCTCTCTCGTACGTGTAGGCCTACTCCGAGTGGAAGGCACTTTACTCTGTGGTCTGAGCTACTTACAGCTGTCCTCTTCCCGCGTCATTTTACGCCGAACCCGAAAAAAACTGCACTGCGACTGCATCCGACATCGGTCGGTGGACGGTGTCACGATGTCATGTCGTCTGTGGTAAACAACTAGTGAAGATAATTTAATATTATTTCATATTTGTTATAATATTTAATTATTGCTCACACTATAACTATTTCACTTTAAGTCGTACATTTAATTTTTATCAATGTCAACTCAACTCTCTTGTAAAATGGCGTTTGCCGTGCATGTAATAAATAAATAAAGAGTGTGAGCTGCCAATTAAAATGTGTCTCTCTTTAGTGAGTGTCTGATTTGTATCTCTGTGTTGAAAGCTTCAATTTATTTTTATATTCTTTACCTACACAGGAAACATGAACGAAAGTAGTATTGTAGAATAACTACTTTTACAAAATTTAAATTAGATTTAGTGACAGTGTATTTGTTAACTTAACCATTACACAGTAAAGTTTAAACAGTAAACAGTATTTTAATATGTGGCTACCGCCTATTAATTAATGATTTCAATATGCACTATGGCACTAATTTGGTCAACTTTCCTATTTTACTTACACATAGCCAGCCCAAAATACCTTTGTAGTTCTCTCTAGGCTATGGCTTCCATTTTGTTTGTAGAAATAGGTTAGGTAGGCCTACTTTAGGGTTACAGTTTTGACTTAATGTAATGCTAAAACAGTTTAAGTCAATAAATTGGTTTTGTTCACAGTGAAAGCATATTGTTTGTGTTAAAATAATTTCATAGAAATATAAAATATATAACTTCTGTTATTTACAGTGCCAAAAAATACAGCAGTTGCAGGTTCAGGTTGTAAACAGGAAGCACATGATTTATATTGTATGCATGCAGCCAAGTCATGCAAGGGAAAATAGTGAAATACACAAATATAATACGAAAGAACCTAAGAAAATCATTTGTATTTTTATTTTTGTTAGGATATTTACTGTCAGAATAGCGCCAAGTCGTGTGGGTAAATAGTCTAAATTTTGTAAACCAAACATTGACCAATAGTGTCAGTTATCAGATTTCTGATTTTCCACTTTTAATGCCTCTAGATTGCCTAAAAATGCGAGTTTACAGGTATAATTTTTAACAAATTTCCCAGGGGAGGACCCCCGGACCCCCCTCTATACATGGGGGGTACCCAGACCCCCCGGTTGGCGCCTTCGGGCTGGTCAAGGTTTACGCCCTAATAGAGTACCCAGCCCGCCCCTGAATAAGTATTTTATGTTTTATTTTGTTTAAATATGATACAACCTAACTTATCTGGCATAGCTGGTCTCTGTGTGGAGATGAAGGTAAATTAATCAGGTAGACCTATGATATGTTAAAGTGTATCTGTATCAAACTGAACCATATCTTTGCTTTCAGATTTCCGATTGTATATGTATAAAAACTACAACTGGGTTCTTGAAGGTGAGTTTTGTTTATTGGTACAAAAACATAACATAAGTTTAACTTATTGAAATTGAAAGTTACAATTTTTTTATCAAGATAATAAGCTTACACGGTCGAGATAATCTTGTTTTATCCCACTTTTAACTCATACAATAGAAAATCCTTTGGAAAATCTAAACGTTCTGGTGTTTTCTTCTAAACGGTTCCTACAATTCTAACAACGTAACAACCAATTAACTAGGAATTAAAATCCATGTATGTAGCCCCTGAGCTGTTGGGCATAATCTTATATACTAAAAAACTTTTGCAAAACTTATGACAGCTAGCCTGACCATACCACTGGACCGAATTACACGTGGTTGGTACCAAATGAAAGATTTAAGTACCTGTAGATGTGCAGAATCCCTTTATAAATTGAATTAGGCTCACAAATAAGCACGAAAAATGAATTTTAAATCATTAAAAAATAAAATTATGGGTTGCCATGGTGATGACGAAATAACAACAAAATATAAACAGAAAATAAAAAAAATGAATGATATTCCAATCACATGTTTTATTTTCAGTGTGTGGGGAAAAATAGAGAAGTCTGTACATTACATATTTTTGGTTGGGTTTTCAACCACTGGGTGACCTCTAGGAACAGATTATATAAAAATATTTATGGAGACTTTTCTTATGGAGATTTAACATGGGACAAAATTTTAAAGCTTACGACAGCTAGCCTGACCATACTACTGGACCGAATTACACGCGGTTGGTAAAAAATGTAATTGTCTCTATATTTGTCCATTTTGCTTCGATTTCAGATATTACTTGACTGGGCTAAGTGTTATAAAAACAGAAATTAAAAAATCTATTGACAATTTGACATGAGGCGAAATCTTTAGTCTAATAGGAGTGAGATCTGGAGATCTATTGGACAGATTTACATGCAAGTTGTGTTAAATGAAATGTTTCCCATGTGCCTGAAGAGTTTACTATTCCTTTAGTGAATCTTATCCTATATTAAAAAGCTTTTGGAAAACTTATGACAGTTAGCCTGACCATATTACTAGGCCGATTTACCCGCGTGTTTTACCAAAAGAAGGTTATGGAAGAAATTCTAATTGTATGTTTTATTTACAGCGTGGGGTTAATATAGAGAAGTTTGCACAATACATAGTTTTGGCCAAATTTTTGACCACGGGGCGAGCTCTCGTGTAAGACTAAATTACTTACCTATTCCCGTCACAGCTCAAAAAAATATATCAATTCAGGACACGTTTCGGTGTTAAAATACCATCATCAGCTTCAGGTACATATGTAGAGTTGATCAGTAGTTAACATCGTCAGAAGATAAATACAGTACGAACACGAATAAATACATAAAACAATTAAACATTTAAGCAACAGGCCCTGTTCTAACAAAAGATGACCGACCGCACAGGTAGCAAGGCTTTCCCATTAGGCAAATGAAAAATGATCAATTGGTATCTTCATGCAAACATTTCAGCCAATTTGAGGCTCAAACTCATAAATTAATATAAGTTAAGAGTCCTTGGAGCCTAGACGTTCTAGCCTAACTCGTTTATTTAGAACGTCTAGGCTTCAAGGACTACAAACAATTAAACAATTAAAAAACTAAATTCCCTCGCCGCAGCAAACCTGCAGACTAAGCGAATTTCCATTTGCCAGACTGGATTTACACTAAAATGTCTCCTTCAAAATATCACATTTGTCCCCTATTTAAATAACATTAGTTTAACGAGTATTTAGGTTTACTGCAACAGGGAGGGTAAAAAGGTATTTTTTTTGTAAATGTATTAGTTTATTATGAAATAAATGAATTTTCCAAATTTGATCAAAATATGTTCATAAACAAGCAAACTACAACAGTTTACTTATCTATATATAAAGCTCAAATACCACTGACTCATTCACTCACTCGTCACGAAATCTCAGAAACCATAAGACGTAGGAACCTGAAACTTGGCAGGCATCTTCCTTTTGGGTAGTAGACGCTCACTAAGAAAGGATTTTACCCTCCGACCTCTGGGCTCCGCCCCAGTGGCTCTGGAGTTTCCCATGTTAACCCTGGAGGCGAGTTAGCGTAGCGAACGAGCTAACCTGAAGGCAAGTGAGCGCAGCGAAGGAGCTCTAACCTAAAAGTGAGTGAGCATAGCGAACGAACTTCAACCAGGACGTGATTGAGCCATTCGAACGAGCTCACTTATGAAGTTAAACGGGGTAAGGCCCGCGGGTACAGCTAGTTCTCCATAAGAATAACATGGAAATTTTAAATTTACAGATTTATGTAATTTTTTCCGTAACCATTAGGCATATAATAACGCTTCAATATACTAAATTATTTGTTTTTTAAGCTCTACAAAATGGTTTGGAAAGAAATTGCTAAATTTTAAGTTTATAGGGTGAAAAATGGGAAAAACCAATTTTTACCCCATAAAACCCCCCATAAACCCCTGTTAGTTCCCATAGTCTGATCATGCTGGTTCACGAACTCGTTCAAATAAACGTAGGTTTACACGTTTGTACCAAATTTCATCAAAATCGGATGATTTTTGCTCGAGTTATCGCGCTAACGGACACATATATAAATATATATATATATATATGAATTTGAACGGGTGGTGTTTTTGGTCTCAAGGGACCTCAAAACGAAAAAGTAAATCGGTCCCGGGTGCAGGTCTTACCGTAGTATCTGAGTACTACGGTAATAGCTTATTCCCTAAAGGGAAATTCGCTAAAAGAAAATTTATAATTTCATAGTATACTAGGTACATATTTAAATTAAAATCACTCTGGTGCTTGAACAAATATTGTTACAAGCCAGGAGCCCCGCGCAACAATAGCCAGGCGTCGTCTCAAAAGGATTGTTTGTTTACACGGGTTCTCCGAAAGACAATAGACCCATGTCAACGGACTACGTCAATAGGGGTTTTGACATCTACGAGAAGCTTCCACAGCGATCTGTAAATACCTTTGTCTAGCCTACGAGTAGTCTCTAGAATGTTCCACAGCAAGCTTATATAAGGGACCGTCTTCCGGCACACGGAGTTGAGTTGAGTTAAGCCTTCCGAGAATCTCGCAGCAAGCGCCCGTCGGTGACCAGTGCTAGTGCTAGTGAGAGTGACAGTGTAGTAACGGTGTAGGACAGTGTAGTGACACTAGTGACAGTGTAGTGACAGTGTTGTGACAGAAGTAGTGATAATTCCTGTAAAGGCTAGCTGTAAGTAGAATCATTGTAAATTAGAATAGGCTTTAGCTAGGTTAGATAGGGTTAGTTAGGTGTTAGGTAATTGTAATATCTGTAAATATAGAACAATTAGTGTAAATAAATAGTTATTATAAAATCGCCAAGTTTTATTTGTAAAGAACCTGCTAAGCCCGCAACAATATTTTGAGATGGTAAATAACTTTACAGCGGTTGTTTGAAAAACTAACTGATTTCAATTCAATTTGGTACAAACGTGTTAACCAACATCGATTTGAAAAAAATCACAAACCAGCATGATCTGCAATGAGAATGAGGTTCTTATGGTGTAAAAATTGGTTTTTGTCATTTTTGATCGCCTAAACCTAATTGTACCATTACTTTCCAAACTAAGAATTAATTAGAATTTAAAAAAGAAGCAAATTAACGAGTTTATTTAAGCTTTGTTACTTAACCTTGGCCTAAAGGGGAAAATAAAGAAAAAGTCCAAATAAAACATTCCCATGATATTTTTATGGAGAATAGATCAACTTTTATGGATTGCTTATTTATGGGGTAGTTATCGTGACCATGGGAACCTATATTGATACATGAATACCGTGAAACTTGATTTTTAGTTGAAAACAACAGTGCAGCTTACATCTTTCCGAGGTCACAAAACTAAGTGTTAGGCCCAATTCACACCGAACGGACGTCGGCCGGAGACGTGGCACGGACGTGGCGAGGACATATGTCCGTTCCTCGCCTCCCCATGTAAACAAATTGGTCAATGCACACACAAGTGACGTGGCGCGGGCGGCCGCCCTCCCGTCACCGCCATGTCCCTACGGGATCTCTCGTGGCGTATCGGAAGTGGCATGTCGGTAGCGCGCCCGTTGTTCGGACTGCAAATATTGTACTATACTTACGAACCTTCTTGTGTATAGTGTGCTTGTACTTACCAACCTTTTGTGTAGAGTAGTTTTTATGTGTAGATTGTGAGTTGTTTCTTCACTATGCGAGACGACATTGAATTAAATATCAAATTTTATGAGGAAGTAGAACAATTCCCTTGTTTGTACTAATTAAGTTGACAGAAATTAACTAACACCATTGACTTTAATAGAAATAAGCAAAAACCAAAGCGTCTAGTCTACATACAGGTTGTCTCGCCACTGTACCGTCCCTTCACCGTCCCTTCGGTGTGCATTGAACACGCCACGTCACTGCCACGTCTGTGCCTCGTCCGTGCCACGTCTCCGCCCGACGTCCGTTCGGTGTGAATTGGGCCTTAAAGTTTTGATTTCTTGATTTCTTTTGTTTATAGGCCTATTCTGTCTGCTTGTTCAATTAGGGTACACTGAAAACCAGAATAAACTTATGAAAACTAATTTAAGGAGAAAAGAAGAGACAATTAATTAGACTCCACTATACACGATACATAGATTTGTTCACTTGGTTACTCATCTACTATTGTTTATCTAGAAATGAATTACGATTCAGTTAAAAATATTCCAGCAAAGTTTGCAAGTGGTGAGGACAACTAATAATAAACAGAGAGACAATGAAAACAACTACACTATGAATAAAAAAATGTATATGCTATCTAAAAAAGTGGCCTAAACCAACACTAATAACTCTTTTTTTATTATTTTACCTTACCTCGGTACTAGTATAACCTCCCAAAAAAATCAAATGCACCCACCGGCCTCCCACTACTTTAACCCACCAGCCGCCACGCATAGTTGGGAAAGTTAGTCAAAATTTCTAACTAGTTAGAAGTTAGAAGATAGTCCCATGAAAAGTAACTGATAGAAGTTACTAGTTAGTTAGTTTAAAAAGTAACTGATATAAGTTATTAGTTAGTTGGAAAACTAACTGATAGAAAATAAAGTTAGTTTTCAACAATTGTAGAAGATAGCTGTTTGTTGGACAGTTGTTTTAAAGGATTTCATACGTAATGAAATAATGACACATCTTGGTTACTAATTGTGTTTTAATTAAATATTAATTAGACATCGTCACATTTACATTACACTTTACATTCATTACTACGACAAAATTTACTTGAAATGCCTATTAAACTTAAAAAGAAGTTATTATTCAAAATTGGTGTCGCCGATTCTTCCTCGTCTGTTATTAATGACTAGGCTTGCCGCTCTGAACAGGCGTTCGCAGTGAACAAAGGTGTTTTTTAATTTGTAGATTTATATTTGTCGTTATCTTATTATAATGTATTTGTTTCATGACTAGTGAATATTTTGTTAGTAAATTTATGTAAATTTCTAACTAAATAAATAATGATTTACACATTAGTTTGCCGTGCAATGTCAGTGTGGTAGCCAGGTACACGGCAACGTCGCAGATTCGCACATGCTACCGCCCGGCTGGGAAATATCGTACAAACACCAGGCGGCCCGCTGCCAGTCACGGGAGAAATTTTTGTCTACAAATATAAATCTGTTTAAAAACCACCTTTGTTCGCATTATAAATCTGTCATATTGGTGTTATTTCTTGTGTCACGGCAAACATGATGGTAATTTGAACGAAATTTTCAGTGTCTTATTAACGATGTTAGCATACGTTTTAAAAATTAACAGCAGCATAAAAACTGTGAATAAAATTTTTTAAATGCATGGAAATGTTAACAATGAACCTACCAATAAGCCATACAAATTTCAGAAAGATTGGCTCAGTGGTTTGATTACAAATAATTTTTAAACTTCAGTGTTCGTGCAAAGTTTCTTAAAAACCGGTACGTTTTAGGATCTTTCAACTATATAAATTTTTCTAGTAAATGGAAAAATTTTTAATTGATACCACGTAAAATTTATTTAAACCAGCTTATATTTAATTTTTGTTTCAACAAAATCGGTAATTCATCTCAGAGATATTTAGGCTCAAACTTGAGTGCACATTTATTTCCCCGACAAAGGTGATACAAAAACTTGTCATCACTCTGTTTTCAATAGTTCAAAAGACAAAAACAAATAGTGGTCATCTCACCTTTCCTGACATAAACATTACTTTCGATACACAAACATAATTTACAACTGTTCAAGTTAAAAACAAGACCATCATACTTTTTCTCCACTTATTAACATGCGCTCTCAAATTCGAAGCACTTGTGACTGATGCTTTAATTATTTTTGTTTTGGTTAAACACGATAAACATTTTAACGTGATTCCACCCTTTAAATTTTTGTTTAACTTGTTGAAATATGTCACTTAAGTTTGGTCACTTGATATCACACTCGCCCACCATTGCAAACAAATGTTATTAATCTACTGTACTTAAATTAAAACCGTACACCTTAATAACTTATGTATTAAAAATATTTATCTATCACTAAAATATATATAACTACAAGACAACTAAGAAACTAACAAAACATTTACACCTTTCACGGTCAGATAATGAACATCAACCTGAAGTGAAGACTTTGACACTTGAGATTACATATCAATCGCCAAACAAACATTCCCCCTTCCCACCCTTCGGTGCTTGGGGTGTTGTTATTGGCTGCCATTGGCTCGCCCCCCGAGTCCGCTGCATACCAAAGCGACTGGACTTTGACTTTCTCTTTCCCCACCCCCAACGTTGTTTGTCACAAGGGCGCTGACCTCTCACGTACGCACGCAACCCTCACTGAACACGGCAAATAAATAACCCATATTGGAAATACTTTCGCCTGACCAAAAAAACTACCGATTTAAAACTAGCGAATATATTATTTATTCGTTGGCTATAAAACTGAGTAGAAGTTATTTCCAGCTCTTTTTAAAAACTAACGAATAAAATAGAAGTTAGCCGAAAAAACTAACTAATAGCGCTATTCATTAAAATTTCTATTCGTTATTCCCAAGTATGCCGCCACGTTAATACTTTACAATGAAATGGCGACCATACAAAGTAGGTAATATGAGCCAAGTATGAATGGAGATGAGTGTAGGATGAGTGGCGCGATCTTGTAGTCTTGATAGTGACTAAGGCCGACATATTCCTTAGACACAGCTGTTAATTAATAGCCCATACAGCTAATGGCAACTAAGGGACCTACAGTTTTTAGTGGAATCCGAACCACATTTTTGCCTTGGTATATACGAATTGGTCTAAATTTCAGGATAGCACTGGATTCTGGATAGTATTTTAGCCATGATGGACAGACTGAGAGGCACAACATCATTTATAATAGTAGCCTATGGATATATTTATAATTGTAACCGGTTTTGACTTGTTGTAACTTGTTGCAGGCTATTACAAAACAGGGGAACTGATATCAGGAGACAACAGTATCAGAGAGCTTGATCAAACCACTTGGAGGAGCAGCGGAAGCATTTAGCTTAAATATGGTATATGACTTAAGAAACACTGTACTCCGGGGTGGCTTAGCTATTTTTGTAGGATTTGTTCTCTTGTATACTATTACTCCAGAAACCCGAGGAATTGACAAGGTTAGTAATAATTTTGCTGTTGAAATTATTGCAAAGTTTAATAACACATTTTAATCTCTTTTCACAACATTTTTCCTCAGAATGTTAAATTATGTTCAATTTTGGTGCTAACTATCTTTAAATTTGTGTATTGCAATCTTTTTTTTCATCTCTCAGTTGACTAGAAAGTTATTTGTGATCGTAAAGAATAGGTTTGAGCCGTGGATTAAATGCTACAGCAATCCTTAAAAACATAACATAGTGTTAATATATTGTAACTTTCATCTTATTATTATGGGTATTTAACACTATTTACAGGAGAGCTTCACTGAGTGTGTCTTGGATTATCAACAACTAAATAATACCACCGCTGCAGCAAACCTATATATTAAGCAAATTTATATTTGGGGCTAGATTTCCACTAAAATATTCCCTTAAAATTGTCTGACTTATTTTTCTTTTAATAAACACAAATATTTAAATAAACTAGTGCACCTGTTGCTCGAATTGCAAAGTATTACCAATGCGATAGATTATAACTGGAGTCACTACTCTCTGGTTGAACATTAGAGAAAAGCGAGTCACTTTTTTGCTGGGGTATTTTTTCGGTGTTTCGTGTTGTTAGGTTGGCCGTATGATCGATTGGTTGAATGCTGTCAAATTCAATTAATTCCAACCTTACTATTTATTTGGGGTTATCTGCTATTTGATGGACTTATAGCAACAACTTATTTAAGTTATTGCACGTAAAACATGTGTATATAACGTTTCTAGTGTCACTGTTGCTCTAAATCGAGCAATTGCTATGTATTATAGGCGTTATTTTAAAACGAATAACAGTCATAATTTTTGATGACTTTAAAAGATGCGACTTAAAGATTGTGGAATACTCAAGATGTAAATAACAGATTGATATAATCAACATTTCTTGTGAATATTCTATTTCTTCTCCTTTGGTGGGGTTCTATGACTTTTCTATGTTTCCATAGTTTGCAAATCGGCTCTTTCAATGATTACTAAGAAATGCAGCACAGTGTTAATTCAGTTTTCTTTTTAGTATATACATTTATCCAGGCTCTCTCGTTTTGTTTATTCATTGTTATAATTACGCCAACCCAAATTCAAATAGTAAATATTTCATTTCAACCAAGTAAGTAAATGTTTGTAGCAAACTAACTGTTAAATTAGTAAACTTATTGACTGTTTACAATTAACATATGTTCTTCTTCTCACTTTTAATTTCTGACAACAGCTGGAGTTTCATAACAATTTTTATTTCCCATGTTAATCTTATGGAGAAATACAAAACTTTAAAGGGCCCCAGGGCCTCGCCCTCTAATTATTTCCTAAAAAAAAGTTTCCTGCACAACTTCACGTTACGCTCCTTTCAATGACACCAAAAACATGTCAATCGGTTCAGTAGTTTCAGAGGAGTAATTGTCACAAAAATCCTGCTTGCGTATTAAATAGGTAATAGATTTTGAAACATTATCAATTGTGTTTGATACTAAATAAATACTAACTTATTTTCCTCTTTACAAGCTATGATTAATGGTGAAAATAGTTAAGTTTCCTGGTTTGGAGACATAGGTTTAGGCTTGGGCTTAGCCCATAGAGATGGATGGTTTAGCCCTATGGCCTTTGATTGAAGAACGACCATCCGTTTATGATCTTGTTAAAATGGGTTGCTCGTAAAATAAATAAATTAACTTATATTGCAATCTTAATACAGTACACTCCCTCTTATCCGGACTCCTCGGGACCGAGGCCAGTCCGGATAACGGGTTTTCCGGTTAAACCGACGTCCCCAAAAACTTGTTAAAACAGATCGTTTACTGTGATATTCAACTTAAATTTAGGAGAGCATTGTATTTATTCATGTGATAACTGGTCTCAAATCTTTCCCACGAGAACAGTTGTTTCAGTACCGCTCACTTCCTGCCGATCTTGTCCGGTTAAACCAATGTGCTGACAGTGCTGATAAAAATTGTCCGGTTAAAGAGATGTCATTTCCGCCGAGTGTAGTCCGGTTAAACAGATGTCCGGTTAAAAGGTGTCCGGATAAGAGGGAGTCTACTGTATTGACATTTTTTTGTTTACTATCAACAAAACAACAGGATGACGCCATTTTGCCACTCTCTAATTTGACAGCATCCAACCATACGGCCAACCTAACAACACGAAACACTGAAAAAAACAGTGGTACGCTTTTTAAACACAGAGTGGTGACTCCAGTTATAATCTATTCATCTTAATGAGTATTACAGGCGTTATTTCAAAACGAATCAGTCTTAACATTGAAACATCGTTTGTAAAATCTGTCTAAGCATTTTAAAATTTTTACTCACTATAGTTTTTATGCTGCTGTTAATTTTTAAAACTTTTGCTAACATCGTTAATGAGACGCTAACAATTTTGTTCAAAATACCATCGTGTTTGTCAATACCATTGGTTGAGTGAATACCGATGCAATGTCAGTGTGGTGGCCAGGTACACATCGGCAACGTCGCAGATTCGCACGCGCTCCCGCCCGGCTGGGAAATATCGTACAAGCACCAGGCGCTGCGACTCGCAGGAGAAATTTTTGTTTACAAAAAAAAATTCTGTTTAAAAAACCCCTTTGTTCGCATTATAAATCTGTCATATTGGTGTTATTTCTTGTGTCACGACAAATACGATGGTATTTTGAACGAAATCTGTAGCGTCTTATTAACAATGTTAGCATACAATTTAAAAATTAACAGCAGCATAAAAACTATTGTGAGTAAAAATTAGCCATACAAATTTCAGAAAGATTGGCTCAGTGGTTTGTTTACAAATTAAATTTTAAACTTCAGTGTTGATGCAGAGTTTCTTTCAAACGGGTACTTTTTGGGATTTTTTAACTATATAAATTTTTCTGATAAACGGAATTTTTTTAAATTGTTACCACGTCAAATGTATTTAAACCAGCTTACATTTAATTTTTGTTTCAACAAAATCAGATAATTCAACTTGGAGATATTAAGGCTTAAACTCGAGTGCACATATTTATTCCTCCGACAGTAGGAGTCTAGCTAATAAAAAAGTCTAATATTTGTTTAATAACAATATTAGGGGTCTTAGGTCGGGGCGAGATATTTTTCATTTCTTTCGGGTTGAATAAAAAATGTTGTTGACCTTCGGGCATCAGATCAAAAGCAGGTAGTTTTTGAAGAATTAATTTAAAATATGTCAATTGCTATACTATATATACTTGTTTTTACACAATCTGTATTGGGGCCAAATTGTAAGCGTCTTCTGCGGTCACAGTAAAATCGTGGATACTTCCGCGGTCGCGGAACGATCGTGCACATCTTCTACGGCAAAATAGTGAACATCATGGGTGATTGCGGAGACATCATCTTTGTCTTCTGCAATCTTGGTAAAATCATTAACGTCTTCTGCGGTTGCAGAAAACAGTGAATAATGAATATCTTTTACCTTAATCTCCTCCAATCACGGTGGAATCATGAACCTCTAGAATGAACCTCTGCATGGCCGCAGAGAAAGTGTTAAAATCTTCTGATCATGATGAAATAATGAAGATCTCCCACGGTCGTGATAAAATCTCGGACATCTTCTGCGATTGCTTATGAATAGTAGAAGACGTTTACGTTTCCGTGACCGCGGAAGACGATGATGCTGTTTAGATGGCCGACGTACTAAAACGTACACATGGTATTTGCAGTGCACATTTTATGAATTAGCCCATTTAGCATAATAGCTTGAGAACTATTTAGATTCCTTTCCATTCATAGTTTGTGCTTGCAATATTTTGAGCTACTATTGGTGATAAGGTTGCAAAATGCGTTACAACAAATTAATACCATTCTCTTTTTGTGTGGCAATACCATTACCAATCATATGTTGTGTGAGTTTATACATTCAAATCCATTGATAGCCTTAGCACAACATAGTTAGGCTCATGTTATTATTATTTTCTAATTTTGTTTTTTTTCAGAAAAATCTGCCCCCTCCAGCACAAGACACCTTTAAAAAAACTGAACAGTTTTATCAAGTTTTGCGAGGGGAATCTTCAAAGAAAGATTAATCTTAAATAACTGTACCAAGTTTGCAAAGATTTTAAAAGACAGATTCAAAATGATGGACAAAGTTGTACCGGATGGAAATGCTAATATGAAAGAAATATTGATTCAAAGAGACCTAGATAGAAAGGCTAAGATCAAAAATTTAAAAGAAGAAAAAGAAGCAGCTGCTCCAGACCACGCAAAGGTATTTGAAGAAACGTTTGAGGATCACACAAAACAAATTTTAGAAAATATTAAGTTATTGGAACTAGGAAATGTTGAACAAAAGACGATTCCAGATTACCTTGATAAAATAAGTAAAAACATTCAGAATTTAAATAGATACTTGTCAGTCTCATCATCATTTCTAACGAACTATACAGTTGGAAAAAGTATGAAAACTATTGAAGACCTGGATGGAAAAATTAAGCAATTGGAGACTGATCTCTTGCCGAAGAAAAAGTTTGGTTTCAAAACAAGAAAGCCAAAGTTGATTGAAAAAACTGATAAAGAATTAGAGACTAAAAAGAGTGATGAAGTTGATGCTAGTGTTGGTAAAAAAATGTCTTATGTATCAAAGTCATTAGGGTTTTCAGATGTAAAAGACAAAATTCTGAAATTAGATAGAGAATCCATCTCCAAGCAAGATTTGGAATTGAAAAATTTAGATAACTGCACAGTTCACTTACATGGTAATCCTAGTACAACTCACATCAGTAATGCCACTAGGTGCACAATATTGAGCGGCCCAGCATCTACTTCTGTCTTTGTGGAAAACTGTCAAGAGTGTGTGTTTGTGATCGCTTGTCAACAGTTGAGAATTCACTCTACAACGAAAAGCAAGTTTTATATTCACGTCACAAGTAGAGCCATAATCGAAGATTCGACCAATGTTGAATTTGCGCCATATAATCTTACGTATGAAGAGATTACAAAGGACTTTGAAGTTTCTGGTTTGAATGTTAGTCAAAATAATTGGAATCTCATCGATGATTTCAACTGGTTAGCCAGCGATGCAGCTTCACCTAATTGGAGAGTGATAAAAGAAGAGGAAAGAATTAAAAGTTGGCCACTGTAGACATTTTAGTTGCTTTAGTAGAAACAACAAGGTTATTTATTTCATGGATCCAAAACAACTAATCAGTAACTGAAGAATTTACCACTAACTTTATTTACTCAAATTCCTAATTATTATTAATAAAGTATTTAACAGTTGTTACACATGCTTTTAGCCTCATTCTTGAACCAAATGTTTGTTATTTTTGTCATACTGCAGCAAGAATTGCTGTTCATATTTATTATTTGATGAGGACACCGTGTGTATTTTAACTCAAATATTAGTGAAGGATGAGTGTGACTATTAATACAACTAGACATTACATCCCCATGTTAAATTTGTAATCAGAATCGTTGTGACAGATTGTGTTGATCTAAATTACTAATTTCTGACGAATACACAAACCTTTTCACCAATTCAAACTGATGAAAATGCTTATTGTATGCTATAGCAAGTTTTATGACCCATAAAAAAAAATCGACAACCAAAAATAGGGTAGAAAATTGAGTTTTAGACATTAGGTATTTTTTGGCAAAAAATTGGCGACAACTGGTTCATGGGCTGTTTGTTTTCAATTCATGTATTGTGATTTGTGTCTAAAGTAGATCTCTTTTAGCAAATTTCCCTATAGGGAAGTAGCTATTACTGTAGGTTGCAAGGTAAGACCTAGATCCGGGACCGATACACTTTTTCATTTTGATCTCCCTAGAGGCCAAGTTCAAATTTTTATATGACATGTATATATATATAGATTTATATGTCCGTGAATGCGATAACTTGAATAATTTCTGTCTAATTTTGATGAAACTAGTTGTTTCCAGTTGATAATCTTAACTATATTTCAATATCATTAAACAAATTTAAATAACCTTTTAACTTATCACTACGAAAAAAAGGAAAAAAACTTAAGAGCTAAACTTTTAATTACAATGAATAAAAATATTAAGCTCTATACTGTTTTAATAAAGGTTCTAACAGAGTAGGCTTACAGAATACTGACTGACAGACCAGTTAAAATTTTCATCTTACTTTTAAAATTTTAAAAGAGAAACTCTTCCCATACTATATTTTTTGTTAACACTCTTACGTCTTTAGCCAGATGTCTTTGGTTTCGTTGTTCTTTAACCATTATTTTTAGATCATCCAGATCGCGGCATCTGACATTGCTACGTACAATGCCCCATGCTGAAAGCAGGGCTCTGGCATATAAAGACCAACTTATTCAAGTGTCTGTCCTTGACTTTTTGTTATGGTCATGGCAGAAGCGACTCGACATGGGAACTGTCGACGTTTGAATTTTAGGGAAAAATTGCCTTCTGATGGTTCTAAACTTAATTGGGGCAGTAACACTTGTTTTCCAGCCGAACATTCAGTAATAATTTCAAGATTTAGGACTTAAATCTCATGGAAAAAGTTTTGAAGGTAAAAATTGCTTTTTCTAACAATCAAGAACAATGTTAATAATCTCTTTACCATTAATCTGGTTCCATTAACCAGTCCTTTTTGTGGATTTAAATTCCCTAGTAAAATTACAATTAGACCTTTTTAAAGGCATAATTTGTGAGGGTAAACCTCTTGGTGCTAAAGTGTGAAGAAATTCATCAGGTAATTGTAACTGGTCTCCCTCTTCTTGAATCAAAGTGTCCACTGAGTAATAAACTCGACTGTCATTTTTTGGTTGCTAAACTATTTTATTATTTATTTTGTCACAATGTTCATTCTTTGGTGATAGTATTGTATGACTTTTGTCCTTTTTTAAATAATCTTCAGAGAATCCCTTACTGAAGATTTTGTCAATGATATTCACAATACATTGTGGTGGAAGACGTATCAATGAATCACCAAGATCATTATGATAGCTCTCATGGCCATTCCCTATTCGTAAAAGATATTCAGCAAATGTTAATTCGCTTGGATTAGCTCTCATGTTTTTAGCAAGGGAAATTTTTTAAACATTGCCCATAAAGGTGATCTATCCATTTCATCAGTCATAATTGTATTTGAAAGTAAATTGATAAATAAACAGAAAAAGTAAATATTAAAATGACATAAGGGAAAGAGATTATTTTTTTGAAGACAGATGTTTTTTAAAGGAAATGAATCATATGTTTGATAAACTTAACTAAATTTTCACTTATATTTAAAAATACATGGAAACTTAAAGTCCAGTGGGGCGAAGCACATTGAACTGAGCGTGATAAACATTATTCCATGACTTCTGCAGATAATTCCCTTTAATTTGACACATCAATAATCAAAATCGGTTGATAAATAAAAGAGTTTTGCTGTGCACAAGAAATTCCTTAGGGAATTAGAATAATAGATTAGGCTCGAAGGTGTAGGGCAGGATAAACTTAAACGAGTTCGCGAACCAGCATGATCGGACTATGGGAAAGGGGTGTGGGGGGTTTTATGGGGTAAAATTTTGTTTTTCTTATTTTTGACCCTCAAAACATAAAATTTCCCAATTTCTCTTTCGATCTATTTAAAAACCTGGTTACTATTTAAAAATTGGTTACGGAGAAAATTAAATAAATTGTAAATTTCAAATTCCCATTTTATTCTTATGGAGAATAAGTTAACTATGTCTTAAGATAATAGCTTGCTTGTTTATTGATATATTTTGATCAATCTTGGCAAATTTATTTTTTATACTAAGCTATTAATATTTTACTAAAAAACTCACTTTATTACCCTCTCTGTAGCAGCAAACCTAGGTACTTAAATTGATTTAATCAAAACCCCGATCCGGTAAATGGAAAGTCGCTGAGTCTGCAGGTTTGCTGTGGCGGGTATTTTCTATCTGGCATGAAAAATCCACTGAAGTTTTCATCAGCTACACATTTTCTGTAGTTGCCAACTTTGATTGTAACTAATCAAATTAATTATTTTCATAGAAGTCATTTAGTTATTTTTTTTACTGTCACGGACAGAATTTTTTTTACCTTGAATCTCTACAAATGAGTGGGTCAGGAAATATATTTTAAGCTTATGTTTTGCTTAATAAGTAAATAGGTACCTAAAGATTTCAAAATTAGATGTACTGCGTACTTAGGTTTGCCGCTACAGTAGGTAAATACCCCCACAACAGCAAACCTGCAGATTAAGCAAATTTCCATTTTCCTTATTGGATTTTCAGTAAAATACATCCATAAACATGTATCATTATCAGAGTAGAGTACTCACTATCAGAGTACCTGTCCTTTGTACAGGGTTGGCTTATAAGTATAGAATGCTTATTGCAGTTGAAATGAAATGAAATGAAAAACGTTTATTTATTCCAAGAATATAAACTAAAACAGAGAGTAGCTATACAACTTAACAGTACAATATTTCTAAAATAAAATAAAATTTGCCTTACTTATCTGGCCGTTATGTTAAAGTTGTGCTCTGCGTTTGCAATGGGAGAGGACAGTTTGAGAAAAAGAGGTTCTTTAAATTGATGGTAATCAATGGTATGACACTTCTACCATAGCCATAAATGTTCTTGTTCTACCACTGCACCTGAACAATAGGAAAAGTAAATGATCAAACATTCGCACAATATCACAGATTATGTATTAATTTCAAAACATGGTCAACTACAATACTACAATTATTGTAAACAATTCTACTTTGATTGACAGTTCTAATTAGTTATGTCTACACTCGTGCTTATTAGTGTGCAGCAAGCTCATGCCTTGACGCAGATGGACGCAAGTGTCATGGCCTTCCCGAAATGAGTCCGAAGGAGCTCCAAAATAACGAGTTGTATAGTACTCCTTCCATATTGTACCCATTGATTCCTTACGTTTGTGAAATTTTCTTAACACTAATTATACCGCGCCAATTCCTCCTATCAGCGTCGTCTTCATTCAGCTAGGAAAAAGTATCTAAAACGCGATAAAGTGAGGCATGAGTGTGGACAGCTAAAATGCATGCCTCAAAGCTTGCAACACCGCATTCGTTGGTGCATGTTGAATTATTGAAGGTTGAAATTGAAAGCGCACAAGTCTGGGCATAGGTGTATCACAGCTTTTTGTAGCTTCTTTGTTTAAATTAGCTGTTTAAAAATAAATGAAAAAAATAGTGTTGCATCCTGTAACCATAGATAAAACAAGGAGTATGTTTTATCTATGCTGTAACTAAACCTTGTAACTTTTTAATGCTAGGCCTATATCATAGAATCAACTTTGTGAGTTGCAACAACTGGCAAATTCTTTTAAATATTAATACGCATAATAATTACATGGAAACCTTGAACCCCGTGTGGCAAAGCCTTATAGAATTTCATAACTTTTATAAGCCTATGTGTTATCAAGATAATCAAGTACCACTCTGACTCTGTACTCTGTAAAATCTCAGGTCAAGCGGTTCTGTAGTTTTTACTTGAAGGAACTTCATTCAGAGTCACACAAAACATCCATATTTTTTCATTAGTTGGAACAAGGCCACTTGGAAGTAGGACAGGTGACAGCAGGTGTCTAATCCTACTATGGAGACGAGGGATCATATTAGCGGTTGTGCTCTTATAGTTGTCCTCCCGGCACTCATGAGTTAATCTGGCCAAGAAGACGACACTGACGACATCACCATTTGGAGGGTCGCCGTCTACGTGTCACCCCGACAACCCATCACCTCGGTATTTTGGGCACAGACGACAACGTGTCACCTCGTAAAAATATAACGATGCCGTCTAGGTGTCACCTCGTCTAGTTGTCACCTCTTCTCTGGAGGTGATTGTTTGTCGTGTGTAGAGACGACTGCCTGTCACCTCACACGCTTGCGTCAATGTGTCACCCCGACTACCCGTCACCTACTCTAGGCCCAGGTGACGATCTGTCGTTGCCGTTTACGACAAACAGTCACCTCGCACGCTCGCGACAAGGTGTCACCCCGACTACCTGCCACCCCGCTCCATCTGTTTACGTTTTCTTATAACGCATATTAGGATTTCTCCACTTGGTTTATCATCACAACCATGCTTAAAAACAAATAATTTTATATGTTACAATAAATAATAAACAATTAATAAAATACATTATAAATTATTCATGTTTAATCTTTACTAACTAAATGATACACGTAGGCTCCACCCGGGTAATAAAACTAAAAAATCGACCACACAGTAATAAAATAATACTAAAATACAGGTAGTTAGAACCGAATAACATTAGGTTGGTTC